CCGTGCTGGTCTGCACGTAACGTGGGACACATCCGACTCCCACCCCTGCACATGTGGACGGAGGGCACAGCTTGGAGACCCCTGAAGTAATTGACCCCTCTCGACGCTCCGGCCATGGAGCAGCTAGAGCACAGACCAGCCTCAGTTTCATTGCGCCGAACACATGTCAACCCAGCCCCTCGCACAATCTTCGCCACGGCGCCTAGCAACGATCATGGCAACGTTCCAGTCGCAGCGCCACTCCATGGCATCGGCGACACACAATCAACTTCACCGACGGGCATGCACGCACGTTCCGACATGCTAAAGTTGCTGGCGAAAATGCAGTCTGCGTTTTGCATGTGCGTTGACGAAAATCAAGCCTTGACAGCCGCATGAAGAATCAAGGATATTTACAGCCGAGGCAGAGTTGTCGAATAGCACCAACATCTGCGAATCAAAGTGTCTTTCGGCACCGTTTCTTTGCGTCCACGAGTGGTCAAACCATGTCAAACCAAACCCATACTAACCTCTTTCCTACCTGCACAAGGAGGTGCACCACGCCATCATGCACCAGCCACCAGCCGGTGAGCAGCCATCGCACACGCAGCGGGAAACGGCCGCGACGTCCTTTTGCCGAAACGGGAGATTGAGATGGGTTGTTTTGTGCGGGCCGCGCACAAGCTATATGCTTCGCATGCTGCCGCCTGGCGCGACGCGACGCAAGCCTTCGCACGCGAGCATGACAACGCCGTCTGCGCAGGCCTAGCGGCCCTGCTATTTCAGAGCAGCCAACATCCCCGGTGCCCGAGCCCTCGCAGCGCCTCTCGCATCTCCCTTTGCGGTTCAGTGGCCTCGGGTTGCACTCGGCAGTCGATGCAGCACCCGCCGCTTATTGGGCTTCGTGGGCTGATTGTTTGCCGACCATTCGGGCGCGGGCGCCGCTGGCAGCCGACCGTTATAGGTCCTAATAGCGCTTCCGGCCGCGACCGAGACCGCTGCGCCCCTCTTCACGCAACCGCCTGCTTTCGCGAGCACGGCTACGATGCCGTGGGCTTCGCAGCAACCGGGGCAGCCGCCACAAGCAAACCGCGACTTCGGCGACTTTCTGCAGGGCTGGCAACATCGGGCCTCCGCTGCAAGGGATAAGTCGGATAAGCGCGCGTCTGAGTTGCATCTTTCTCATCTCGAACTGCTGCTGTCACAGGCGTACGGCGTACGTGCGCCTATCAGCGATTGCAGCCTGCGCGAACGGACGGGCCCTGTGGCATGGTGCGCAGCAAGGCGCAAACGCCACCATCGTGAGCCCCGTCATGCCCCATCCTGGGGCTGGCGACGCTCAGCCGGGCCGAGCCGTGGACGTAGCCGCGCGATGCAAGCGCCATCACACTTATCCTGAACTCGTGTGCGCTCGTCGCTGGGGGAGCCCCCTGTTCCAACCGCGAGTCTTGCCGGGGTTGAAGCGGAGCTGGGCACGATATGGCACGATGCGTGCATGCCTTTCGAAACAAAATGTACACATCGTCCATAAGGCCAAAAATTTGCTCATCAGGGTGAAGGCACCTGTGTGGGTTGGTGGCCAATCTTTTCTTTGTTTTTACGCACCATACGAACATATACGAACCGTTCTCCGACTGGAGTTCCGCGGTCCCTGTGTAGAAACAAACACGGCTGCTACACACTGTTTTGGCGAGCTTAGCACGCCGGAATCCAAGGCTGCAGCTGGCAACAGGCGTGGCGTCGCCGAAGCGAGTCGAGGCAAGAGCCTCGCTGAGCAGGGGCTGGTCGCCGTCAACATTGGCGGTGGTGACGGAAAGACCAAGGAGACTGGCACCGAAGGCACTGGCGGCCGAACAGGTCTGCGTGCCTGCGAATGCTCATGTGCACGCTCCATGAACAAGGAGGCTTGGGCTTGGCAGGCACCTTGCCAATCCTGCACCAGCATCACCCGAGTGTTGTGCTGGACGCCCTTGTCGTGTGCAATACACTGCCCGGAACATGGGTGGAGATTCCGTGATTATTCAGGAATCGGCGTCCGTCTGCTCCCACAGCCTGAGCCGTCGCGTTCCGCGACGTATTCGTCGTTTCCTGATTTTTCCGTAGCGTTCTGGCGCCTGCAGGACGGCATCCAAGTCGAGGTATACCCTACGCCTGCACTTTCGTGACACACAGGATCGCGCAGGGAGGCGGCTGTCGGGAACGTGTTCGCGCCCTTTTGCGAAACAGAGGGAACATGCCGCCCACGTGACTGGGGACACCAGTGTTGTATAGTGTTGTGTCATGTTGTGTCGACGGCCGGACCAGCTGTGCGGTGTGTGGGCTGCGTGCCTCACGGCAGCTCGCACATGAGGCTGCATCACTGCCCCTACACCGCTCGAGCAACATCATCGCCTGCAGTGAAGTAGCCTCGCACATTTTTGCGCTTCCTGGCACAAGGGCGCAACCGAGCAAGGCCGGCATCGCTGCAATGTACTACTGGCGATAAGCCGTTTTTTGGTAGAGTAGTTTGCTACACAGTGCGGCCCGTCGGGACGATGGGCTGCCCCGCGCCAAGCACAGCGGGAGGCGGCTCGGCCTGTTGGCTCAGCGAAGGCCAGGCCTGCGGAAACAAAGTGATGTAAAACCAAGTCAGCCGGTCGCCCGACGGTTCGCTCGGCGCCCGAGCATTATGTCCCTCGCAATGCGGGTGCCAGGACAAGAGGGTGGAAGGTGCGGGCGCGTGGCCGGGTGTGACGGCATCAGGTTTTGGCACAGGTCCTACATCACCCACGAGATGACGTCCGGGTGGAGCGAAGATCTTTCCTCACACTGGAGCGCTTGCCGTGGGGCCTGGGCGTAGCGATCGCGGGGTGGCGTACGGAGTCGTGTCACTGAACGTGTCCAGCAGGCTGACAACATCCGGCAGGGCTCCCGCAGCTGCCGTAGTTTCCGTAGCCATGTAGGAGCTTTCGACGCGTCTGGCAGGCACAGAAAGGCGTGGAATTCTGTTTCCTCCTGCTTTTGGATCCTTTGGCGTGCCAGCGTCCTTTCACGCCAACTGCCTCAGGCCTAAGGTAGAGATAGGTAGAGGAGCTCCTACGGCCGAAGCATGCCGAAGCGGGAGATGACTCCGCACCCTGTCCACGCTGGATTCGGCTCCCGGTCCAGCTTGCGGCACGTCCGGGACCTCGTCCGCCCTTTCACCGCAGCCGGCAGCAGGATCATGCAGGACTCGAAGGATCTCGATGTCCCGAGCCGAGTGGCGCTGATCGGCACAGCGCTCCTCCCCAGCGGCAAGCCGGCAGGTGCTTGGGAGGCGCGGAGCAAGGCAGGTTCGACCATATGCGCCCGTCTGGGCAACTCCACTTCCGTGCAAGTATTTTCCATGCAACCTGCATGGTTACGGCTTGATGATAAGCCTGTTCTTCGGTATGCATGCCAAAACGGTGCTTGATAGCCCGTCAGGGTTGCGGTCTTTCACTATCGTTTCCACACGTGTCACTCATCACAAGCCGGAAGTGCCAGGAGATCGGTCTGCGGTGAGGGTTTCAAACCTGTTGTAGCGACAGTTGCACAGACGCTGGACCTACCGGTTTCCGGCTGCGCCCGGCAGTGCACCTGTCGTTGTGCCCCCCCCTCCAGCGCCACGACGCCTCCCACAGCAGAGCTTCCAACATGAAATACGCAGTTATTTCCGCTGCACAAGCCTTTGCCCTTCGAATGCACGGGCTTGTGATGGCATGAACAGGATAAGCAGTGAGGCTTTCGCCATAAGGGCTTCGAGCCAGATCATGTGTTATCGTTCTCGCACCATCATGCTGAGCCTTAACAGGGACCTGCTTTCGCTTAAAAGCCTGGTCATGCGCGACTTTCGCAGCAACAAACCACAAGCAGAAAGTTGTTGAGACTGTCACGACCCCGGCGATGCATCGTTTTTCACGCATTAAGGCACTTGTCATGCGGCACAAGAACGTAGCTCTGCAACAGCTGATCCAAAGATCACAGCTTTTCCATACGTTGTGTAAGTACGGGACCATCTGAATGGCATGTCAAGACTTCTAGGATGTTATGCTCGCATGTTCAGGTATGTTCAGGTGCACCAGCTGTTTGCCTCCTCGCTCTACGTGCGCACCGGTGCTCTGATGGCGGGTTCGAGAACCACCCGTGCCCAAAGCACCACAGATTAGTGATCTTTCCCAGCTCATGTGCTTCAGGCATTGGATGGCTTCAGCCTTTGCCGATTCCGCCATCAAGCTCTCGACCGAAGGCTCGTCAATTCATTGCAGATTGAGCAAATCGCCGAAGCGAGTCGAATGCAATTCAATTCCGGGAGCAGCCGCTCAAGGCACTCCTTCTAGCCTGGGATCGAGCAAAACAGGCACTAGCGAAGATCCGAGTAAGACGAGTATCTTCGGGCCTGCGCTTCTTGAGCAGGCTGCTCCTTCTAAGAAGATGCAAACCATTTTATGCACAGCTTGGCCGAGCATGCGTGCAAATTCCGGACACTTTTCTTCTGCTGCATGAACGGCAAGGAACCGGGTGACTAGGGGCAGGGCCACGGATCTCGTGTCTCAGCAGTGTCCTTCTGAAGCTTCGATATCCCCAACTTCGAGTCAGGAAGCCAGGGTCCGGCGTATCTTCACCGTGCCAGAGCTGCCCAGATGTTCGGAACATGTTCTTGCAGCATCACATCGAACCAGAACTCATGTTGTGATGGGGAGTTTGCCGAAAGTGCCCGCCATTGAGAAATCTTTCTGGAGAAGTCTTCAATTCTCGACCTTCGATTCCGACTTGCTTTTGGAGCCTGCTTGCGGATGGGGGGCCAACCATAAATCGCCTTTACATGCACTCTGCAGAACTGTACAACACATGTGCTTGAACACCCGAGTCTTGCGTTGCCGGCTCCCGAAAAAAGCAAGCGAAGAATTTACACTATCAACGATCTGCAGGAGACGCCTCCTCGACATTAACGCCCTCGAGATACCTGGCAGAGGAGGCGGTGTTCTCGCGACGAGCTGGCACTTCCCCCCCCCTTCGGCTCCTCATGCGGAGGCAGGGACACCGAAAGCCTGCGGCCAAGGTTCGGAGGGCATGGGTCGGGAGGCTTTGGGGACAGTTCAGAGGCCAAGCTGCAAGGCCATGAACTCCAGGATGACCTGCTGAGGCGTTCAACGCTCTGGGCTTCCCCTCCGAGTTCTGTTGAGAGCTCCGCACCTGCCACAATCGGAGCGGCCTCTTCCTCAGCGTTGCTGATCAGCTCCGAGCGGATCTTCTCAGTCAGCTCCTGCCACGGAAGCTTCTGGTCTAGTGCCCGCAGAGTTACCAGTCGCAGACTAGGTGTTCAACAAACCGAGCATCTAAAATTTGCACAAAACCGAAACAACATGCCGACGAGCACGTCTAGTCGAGCTGATGAAGATGTAGACCTTCGAGGGCTGCGGCAAGGGTTCATGAGAAGCGCACATCCCCAAGCCCTTCAGCTTCCAAGCTTTCTTTCCAAGCCCGCTGCGCTGCCAGGCCTGGGAAGGGAAAAAGAGCTGCGTCGTCTACTCTCAGTTTGGAGGCTGCGCTGACGGGAGTTCGCAGCTGCCGATGCTGGGGAGCACGCTGTGTCGAGCACGTGAAAGCAGCTCTTCATCCAGAAGTTGCATTGCTAAGGGCAAGTCCTGAGGCGGCACTGCATGTGGCCGGGACATGCCAGGACCGTGATGCACCGTTTGGACTGTTTGGAGTAGATGCGTCGAAGCGAACGCACATTGAGCCAGCCACGTAGAGAGCTGCCATTTTCAGGACTCGTGCCTCTCAGCATTTGCTTCCAGAACAGGACAAGAAAAGTTAGCAGTTAGCCAAAATGCCAAAGGAAGGGCCTTGACACTGACGGGAATGGCCAAGCTTTGAGGCTGCAGGAATGGAACCAACAAAGGCCTCGCGGCAACCGGTCTCCAGGATGGTGCGAGATCCCTTCAGCCCCGATGTGCATGGGGCAATGGCAGCTCCGCCATCTTTTGCAGGAGCTGTGGTCCACAAGCATCCTGAAGTCGTGCAGGGTTGGATTGCTCGTCCCAAATCCGGCACCGTCTGTGAAACGAAATCCGCGCCTGATGATCGCCGCTAAGGTCTGCCCATGCTTCGACGGCATAGTCCTTGGACCACATCCACTATCACCATCGCGTTCGTCAGCTTATCAGCAGCAGCAGTAACCTCTTCGCCGCCACCATCTTCCTGCGCAGCATCCTCATAACCAACATCTTAACCATCATCACCCTGCACTCCGTGAACAGCATCAGCAGCCGCAGCACAGGACTGCGACAGCCGATGCAGTCCTCATTCTGATTTGTTGCCACGCACATAATGGAATTCGTTAATCTGAACGATGTTCGTAGTAGCGATAGCAACCCTAGCCATGCTACGCACTGGAAATAACCACACCCACGCCGATGACGATGATGTTCGTGATGATACGGAGATGAAGAACCAGGACAGTCCTGTGGACAGTGCTGCAAGAGCATCTGGTTCAAATGTAACAACACTGACGAAAGCTATGAAAGATAGATGAAATGAAATACAGCAGAAGTGAAAAAGCAGCACCTGCATTTGTACAAGCAGTACTGCGTAAACAGTAGTGCCAGCTCCAGTACTAGCAATACTATACTACGATTACTACTTCGACTACTGCTACTGCTACTGCTACTGCTACTGCTACTGCCACTGCCACTGCCACTGCCACTGCCACTGGTACTGCTACTGCTACTGCTATTGCTACGGCTGCGGCTACCGCTACCGCTACCGCTACCGCTGCAGCTGCTACTACTACTGCTGCTAGTGCTGCTGCTACTGCTGCTGCTACGACTCCTACTCATACTCCTACTCCTGTTCCGACTCCAACACCTACTCCTACTCCTACTTCTACTCCTACTATTCCTACTCCTCCTACTGCTCCTACTGCTCTTACTACTCCTACTACTCCTACTCCTCCTACTGCTGCTACTGCTCCTACTGCTCCTGCTGCTCCTACTGCTCCTACTCTTACTCCTTACTCCTCACTCCTTACTCCTTACTCCTTACTCCTTTTTCCCTACTCCTAACTACCCCTACTCCTCCTACTCCTACTCCTCCCACTCCTCCTGCTCCTACTCCTGCTCCTGCTCCTACTCCTGCTCCTACTCCTACTCCTATGCCTACTCCCACTCCGACTCCCACTCCTGCTACAGTACTGCTGCTCCTCCTCCTCCCCACCCTACTTCTACTACTACTACTACTACTACTACTACTACTTCTACTTCTACTACTACTACTACTTCTACTACTACTACTACTACTACTACTACTACTTCTACTACTACTACTACTCCAAGTTCTACTACTACTTCTTCTTTTACTACTACTACTACTACGACTACTACTACTACTACTACTACTACTACTACTACTACTACTACTAGTACTAGAGCCAGACTGTGTCTGAGTGAGGACAGCACTCGAAGCAAGCGGAAGATCTTCAGCTTCGACTCTGCAGGCACTTGCGGTATGAGCCTTCAACACAGGCGGCAAACAATCTGACATCATCAAACGTCTTTATGGAACCAGGTCTTCCCTCTACTACTGCTCGCTTAGGCCGCAACTGGCGATTCTGGCAGAGAAATTCGCGTACCTTGCCAGACCCCGCACATGCCAGCATCACGCATGCTCCCAGATTTTGCTGATACAAAGCATCTACAGGCGTCTGCAAAAAGAATTTTCTTTCTCGGCCAATCCCATGTTCGATATGCAACGCCGCTTCTGGGCTCAAAGTGCCAACATGGATCCTCTTGATGCCCATGCTGGTCTCATGCCAGAGAGGCATGATGTGCCGCACAAGCGACGCAGCAGAAAGATCTTGCTCATATTCAATTACACCTCAAGCTTCCAGGAAAGGTGGCCATATGTGGCCGTGATGATGTGTTGAACCGTCCAGACTCGCTGCAAGATCCTTCTCTCATCTCCCCTTGCATCGTGCTGAATCAGTGGGTCATCAAGGACACCCGACTGCAACACCAAAACTGTGCTCCGAGGAGCTCTGAGCAGGGTGAGCAGCTTCGGACACAGATGGCAGCTAGCAGCTGGTTTTGAAGGACTCGCAATGGAGAAAAAACAAGGTAGATCCACAGCGAGATCGAAGCCAAACCCACCCGCTCGCGCCCAGCCTGTGCGCCAATTATTGCTCAAGGCAGCAGGTCAGGCATCGGCCGGATCGCAAAGCCGGGCAGCCGACAGAAAAAGCTGCCCAAAGAATCCGCCGCCCGCCGACACTGCGCACATCTGCACACTGCACAAATTGAACGATTCCTTTCCTTCTGCCGTGAAAAAGAGTACACAAAGCTGACATCGGGAGTCTTCACAATACCAAGACGATAACTGACAACTAGCTTACCACGACTTTAGACCGAACAGGCCCAAGGCCCTGAGGAGGCCGAGAAGGCCCCTCTCACGAAGACGGTAGAATCCCGAAGTCAGCCACCGGTCAGGCTTGGGCTTCCACTGCCGAGACGCAACTGAGGATAACTGCGTGCTGGCTAGATGAATGGCACTCGGAATTCGGAATAGGCACAGGTCGAGTAGATCGGGCACTATGATACCTCGTCACGAACCAACGGCGCGATCACGCCGCAGCAAGTGGATTAAAACCAACACTCAGACTTGTTCACCGGTTGTCCGGACCGCCACAGCAAGCAAGCCGCTTGGCAAAACTTACTGCTTCATTGGCAGCGTCCACCCGCGGGTCCAAAAGAGGTATTCCAATCCTGTGCAACTCGCTCGATTGCAACCCTGCGAAATGCAAGTTTCTCCGGCAGGCCTGACTCCTCCAAGGCAGCAAAATCCGAACGTGGAGGCATCCGGTTCCCATACGGGAAGGTACTGCCTGCATGTCCGTGTGGAGGCGGCACATTGACAGCACCAGCCACAGCCGCTCCCGTAATGCGCCTATTTCTTATACAGCGGCGCAATTGCCGCGGCCGCACTGGTCACGCTTGTTCCGCAGCAGTCCAGCACGACCCCTTCCTTCGCAAAAGAAGCAGGAAGAACATGTGACAATCGATCTGTGCAGAGTGATTGCACCGGCAAACGCTGTCGCACAGTTGGACCTATAGCGTGCGTGCCTATGGCCTATGGCAATCTCAAGCCGAAGTCGAGAAGTAACTTCGCCAAGTGCAGCTTAGGGACGGCATTTGGACAGCAGTCACCACTCATCTTCACCTAACACCGAGCTGAGCAGGTGCTAGCAGGCGCTCAGGCCCAGGCGCTCATCTCAGCCCGAGCCCGCCGAGCCCGCCACAGCTCTGCAGGCCGGATATGCGGCACAGTGGGTTCCGTTGACCCCAGGCAGCTGCCCAGCTACCACGATCTGCGAAGGGATACCGAGAGGTAGTCTGCGCCTCTGCGCCTTCAGCGACCCACTGCCTGGAACTCTGGATCGCGCGGCAGCGTCGGTGGTGCCGGCGCGGCGCCCTCACTCGATCCACCGCTTGTCTCTTGTCGTGTTGTCACAGGGTCGCTCTCTCTGAGTGAAGGACATCCACACTTGGGTCCCACTCCTCCAGCGCCGGGCTTTCATCCATAGCCTCAGGCTCACAGAGGCAGTGAGGTCTAGCGATCGTTGCATCCTTGCAAAGATTTCGCGTCTTTGACACGCCGCGCCGACTGCTGGACACTGTACAGGGTATGCTCACACCCATAGGCGCCATGTCTCGGTTGGGTAGACCCGCCATGTGAAACCAAGAGACCTTATCGAAGTCGCGTGAAGTTTTTGAGGAACGATGATAACAACAACTTCGACTTCTTAAGGATGCTACGCCGGCTAAGCCTCTTGCACTGCCCTTGTGCGGCTGTGCGAGGATCTCTGTGGAAATGCTTTCAAATGCTGCACAAGGGGGCCTCATCGTCTCCCGATTCTGGCTGATTCTAGCTCAGATACTCGAAGGATGCAACGAGGGTTGTACCGCACGGCTAGGCAACAAGCTCCCACTCGTCAGCATCACTGATCTCTAGGTCATCTTCAGGAGGATGGGCAGCTTCCTGCAACTACGCTCACCATTGCAAAAGCGACAGAAGGAAGCATACAAGTAGCAGAAGTAGATTTCGGACTTGGCTCCCCTTTGGATCCCACTCTCATGGTCTCACTTCGCAGAATCTCAACGAATGCGAATGGAAAGGCCATGGCAATGGCACCCGGGCCTCCAGCGCCTCCGGGACCACGTTGGATGCCTTGCGGCAGCCCCGCTTCTCGTCCCAAATGCAGTCGTAGCGGACCCGGGAGCCGACAGCGGGCATCTCGCCTGAAGCCCAGAACACACTTTCGTGCCAGCGACTGCTCCGCTACGACCGCTCCGAGTATGTGTCCCTCGTGTCTTGGCTTCGGCCTTCTTCAGCTAGGGCATTCTGGTGGAAGAACAGGTCAGACCCTCCCTCATCTGGCTTTATGAAGCCATATCCCTTGGGAAAGGACTTCTTCACCACGCCAAGCCTGAGCTTTGACAACCGACGCACGCACTCTTTCTGCAGTGCGCTGCGTACAAGTCGAGAGGCAAGGCTTTCCTCGGTGATCGATCCACATTGCTTGCGACCGTCAGCCCCAAGCCTCCCGTGCCGCCGGTTACCCGCAGTGCCGTCTTGCGCCCATCTTCTTCGATCACCTAATTAGCAGGCGAGCGATGCTCGCTGCAGCAATGCAACGACACCGCTGTTTTCAGTGCTGGCTGCATAGCTCAGGTACAGACGTCAAAGCTAACCGTGTCTCCCTTCAGTAAACTCCGGCCATCTGCGATGGCGCTTCTGTGCACGTAAACGTCGGAACCCTTGGCAGCCCCCCAGCGCCGCCCGCCGAGGCGGATGAAACCGTAGCTATCCACGGAGTTAAAGAACTTCACCACTCCAGTCTCGCTCATGGCGGCTCGAGGGCACCAGAAGCTGAGACTGTCAGACTTGATGACAGGGGACGTGCTGCTGAAAGATGCTCGTAACAACTCCGAAAACCAAGAGCGTGCAAGATTGTGCTTCTTTGTCTTTCGAGTTGAATAAGGTGTCTTGTGCTTGTGTGCTTGGCCGGCTGTTCTACTGTCCTTGGACACCACTGGCTGACGGCTGTCACATGGAAGCATCGAAGCGCGCTCATGCACCCCAACCCGGAGACGCCTGGCCTTGGTCCGAGCCTCTGACGGTGGGACGTGTCAGGGGGCATTCCTTTGGCCCCGTGACGGTTTGAGCGAAGCGGGTTGGAGCCGCCTGGAGGAGAAGGCAAGGCAAGGATGCGTGCGTCCATGCACTGCAGTTACATCAACAAGGGCGGCCTTCAACGTTGCACCCCAGCCGGTAAGCAGGCAGCCACCATCCGGCCAGAACGTAAAATACTGACAACCTGCCGACATGGTTACAAAAAGATTGCCGCGTGAGTCTCGTTGAACATGCTGGCCAGGCACCCATCTGCATCATGCACTCGGCCTGGCACGAATCTGCCAATATTTCAAGTGGCAAAGAGATGTCGTGTTTCTGCGGGTGGCCTGGCCTGGCATGCCTGTGCATCTGGCTGCACTGTTCGTGGCAGTGATGGCAGCCTGGCCTGGACACTTGAACACTGGACAGGCCCAACAGCAAATTCGGAACTTTCGCTTCTCATGCCGTCCAATAGACAGGTCCCGCATAGTACATGCCAACTTTGAAGCAGTCGTCCTCGTAGCCTGCTTGGACAGGCCAGAACTATCCAGAGTTTTCTTCCAAAGCATCTGGGCTTACCTACGCAAGTGCTTGCCTCGCATAAGGCCGGTTCCACGCAGTAGAAGTCCGGCCCGTGGAAGCGAGCTTCTGTTCGCAGGGAGTGGCATCGCGCAAACTGACACACAGCATGATTGCTGCTGTTGTGTTACAGGTTGTTACGAAACCATTGCCATAGCCTGAAGTGGCCGAGCACGGCCAGAGAGCAGGCGAGGGCGCCGATGCAGCCCAAAGCGGCCAATCGAATCGACGCACGGCTCCTCCAGACAAGGATCCGACTTTCATCAGGCTCGTCAGACAAATGCAGGAAAGCTGACAAGGAGGAACTTGCAGCTCAAGGCTGTGTTTGGTCGTGTGCACACTCCTCTGGCCTGGATGCTGAGTCTGTGGTCACGGCGTGGAGCTCTCTGGAAAGAAAGACTTCGCTCTCCTCCCTGTCCAGATCACACCGGTTTATCAAGCTCCTGCTCACGTCTCCTTGCAGACGGGATGCGGAGCTGCCATCGCCGCCCAACTATTCTCAAACAGAGGACGAACCTAGTCCGCTAGACGGAAGCCCAGGACCAAGGGCAGCAGTCTTGAGCTCCGGCCAAATGCTGCACAAAAGCCCAAGGCTGCATGCAAGCAGAGCATGACTGCCACATGAAGGAGTTTTGACGACCGTGGGATTTATAGTGCCGTCAATCAGTGCGGCGCATTCCGTTGGTGGCCCAGGATCTCGGCATTCAACCTTTGCAGAACCTCTGGGGCAACGTCTGAGTCTGTGCTTCACTCCGACGCTCCGGATTGTAGACACTTCAAGCCGCCTTGTGGTTGTTGTTTCTCTGAGCAACGAGCCGCCTTGGAAAAAGCCGAGCACGGGCACTGAAACAAGTGATTGCACGCGTTCAGCTTATATGCTTCAGAGGCCCGTGCTGCAGCGCTGCATTGGCCACCTTCACTTCGTTGGTTTCATGATGTGTCTTCGGGTGACATTATCTGCGAAAAGGTAATAATATGTGCACCACCCAGGATCCCAGCCGCCACTTCTCTACCCTCTGCCACGCCTGCTTTGGTGTCGGAGGCACGTCGGGCTCCGAGCCGCTGCTCTGCGCAAGGGAAGCACAAGGAGAACCGGGACACATCGGAACGAAGACAAGAAGCATCTATCCCTCCAGACGAGATGATGCAGATCATCAACAGCTTCAAGATGCTTCAAGCTTGTGCTTCCTTCGCGGTGCAGATATGATCCGGTATTGCGGCTAGTCTCAGACTTCAGGCTGTCAGCATTGTGGAACCTGGCAGTGCCTCGTTAGCCTTCGAAAGTTGCACTACAAGCAATGCATTAGGATGCATTCCGAAAGCTGCAGTTTCTGGCATTTGTTTGGGGCTCAACGCAGACTTTGGGACACAACATGACTCAAGCCTCTGTCTCGTCGCATGCCTCGCCCGCCTCCGTCGCCTTGCAAACTAGCCGATTTGAACAAAGGATGTCCATCTCCTATTGGATAGCCCAAGGCCACACGAGTCGTGGAGTGCATGATGCGCCGGTGCAGTCATCCGACCTCGTCCGCTCCTGGATCCAGCTCTGCCTTTGTCCAGCATTTGCTACCAAGCATGCAGCAGACCCCCTCCAACAGTCCCAGCTCCATCCACGTGACCCTAGAACATGCCCTAGAGACAGTGAAACCGTGCGGGGAGCCTCTGCGGCTTTGTCTGCTTTTTCCAGGGCCTGGCAAAAATACACAGGACAGATATCGCAGCCGAGGTCTGTGATGCTCGTCTTTCAATCCGACGACTTGTTTCGGGACACAAGTTTCCTATCCCACCGAGACTGATGCGAACGACCTGAGATCCGAAGACGAACGGCAGGCTTCTACACACCTTGGCGCACTGTCGGCTGCCCTCCACCGCTGCAATGGCAGATGACCTGGGAATCGCAACACGTCAAGCACGAAGAGGAGATGCTGTTAGGTGTGGTTGCGGCACAACATAAAGCGACCTCGAAATCGATTGCCTTTGCAGAGCTCTAGCCATCGGATGGGCTTGATCCAGTTGCTGACACTTTTATTGCTTCGTGGCCGCAGCGGCTCATGCCTGACTCGGGCTGTTTCAAACAGCCCCTGGCAACTGCTGACCAGCGAGGCCGGAATTAGAATCGACATAAATTTTACAACCGGCAAACGAAGGAACAAAGAGACTGCATACTGGAACCTCGTGAAACGAATCAGCAACCAACAACTCAGCAATCAACAGATCGAATCAGATATTCAATATTACTATATTATTCAATCACCCTCCAGATCGTGTCCAAGCCCGTGGAGCCTGTGCAGGGAATGCTCGGCTCGTGAAGCCACTCGCCATCAGCCGAATGTCTTCAATCCTGGCTCTGCCTGAAGAAGTGATCGGAGTAGGCCCCGAACCTCGACTTGGGTCACAGGTTCCGGCCGTGCACAGAAGCATCGCGGAAGGGAGGGGCACAACTAATCACGCGTGCAATCTATCACGAAACCCAAAACTCGGACACTTACCCTGCTTGCTTGTTTCAAAAACACTAGTGTCTGTCCAGATGCACGAGGAAGAACGGCATGTCCACAGCCAGGAAGAGGTGCCAAAGGGAATGCCGAAAGGACCATTCCTCCTTTGTCGAAGAGCTCCTTTGCAGGGACTGCAGGATCATCAGGGACGAACCTAAACACATCTCTTAAGACGGGGGACCTCTTTACGGTTGGGATGCTGTGATCGAGCACCGATCCAGTCCTCGAGTAGCCAAGAAAACCGACCAGAGGAATGACATTCAAGGTGGACAGCAGTGGCAAGTGTGGAAAGGCCAACCAGTACAAGTAAAACGAATAGCCGAGGGCACACCAACGATCAATCACGTTCCAGACGGTGCCGAGATAAAGATAGTCTGCGTTCAGTGACGTGATAGTCATGCCTACAGTGAGCAGAACTGTGCGCAAGTCTCCGGCACAGTACGCCGGAATCGCTGGTGTTGCCAGCGCCAGGCACGAGATGCCAACTAAAAGATCCTTCTGCTCATGTGGCGGGTGGTCGATGACAACCAGCTTGGCTGCCAAAACCCGCAGAGAGCGCCGGGCCTCTTGAAGAAGAGACGGCATTGATGCAGCGTTGGAGGAAGACTCTGTGGAGTCCGAGGTGTCCTCTAGTGATGGGTCATGGAAGTCTGCAGACGGCTCCTGATCGCCCATGTCGACATTAGCTCGAAGGAGGGATCAGGTCGAAACCGCCCTTGTCGAGATATGATTTTTTGTCTCAAGCTAGTAGCCTGGACTGTGTAATGGGATGTGAAGACGCTGAAAGCCAGAAGCAGCACAGCTCAGAGTTTCCTACCCACCATGCTTCCAATCTGTCCTCTAGCGTGACTCACCATGCCATGCTGCAGAACTTGTGAGTCTGTAGAACCTGTCAATTCTCCTAGTCATGATGCATGCATGACGTGAGAATTACTCGGGCGACTTCGGCAGTACGGCAGCGACGCATGCAGGCTGTCGACATCAAGAAAGCGTTTTAGGCGGGTCTCCGAATCACCTCCCGTGACAACCCTGAAGATTAAGAGCCTTTCCCAACGTGAAATCACCTGAAGCCGCTCAGGTCCCCGCATCGCGACGTTGGAGGCCCCCGCAGCAGCTAGAGATGCGCGTACGGCCGCGCCTGCATGTTCTCACGAAGGAACGGACTTTGCGAGCTTTCGCGGTTTGGAGATTCAGTTCAAACGAGCCACAAATGCCACACAGCCTTTCCCACTACACCCCTAGAGCCCGCAGAAGTCTACACACATAGAAACACAAGGGGAACTCAAATAACAGCCCCCAAAGGGAAACTTTCTGCTTTCTGCAAACCTCGGTGTCAGGTGTGTGGGACTGAGGGTTGAATTTAACCGGCTGACAGCCCGGCCTTAAGGGCTTGGGGCCCGTCCTGTAACCATGATCCCAATGGCGCATAGGAAGCGAGATGCCTGCAAATCGCTCGGCGGAGCGGCCGTCGCCCTGTGGTGCCTCGCGGGTCGAAGGCCATCGGAGGCCCAGCACAGGCGGAGTTGGGCACATGGGCTCGAGGTTGTTAAGATTTTGGGCGTCAAGGCTAGCAGGGTTAACGGGCTTTAGGGTTTTGGGGGTTTAGGTTGAACCTAAGCACAGCAACGCTCGCCTTCAGATAGGATGCCTTCTTACCCGCCTCGATCCAAGAAGAGCGCATCAGCCGAGACTGAACGCCTTTTCTCGAATTAAGACTCTGCCATGTTGTCAAAAGAAGCTAAAGGCTGAAGCCGGCTTTACAGCGGGCTGCTCGTGCACACTAACGGCACTGCAACTTGCAGCATTTATCTCTGCTGCATTCTACACCCGCTTCGGTGATCCTTGCCACCGGCATGTCTGTACAGGAAATCCCAAAACTTGTAGTGACATCTGAACAGCACGGAGTCCTCCGTTCGTCATTGCAGCGACATCTGGCAGATCATACTGATGCTCATGCACTCACCCTGTGTCGGACAGCTGCTGCCCTGGCCCATGGGGTTGAATCCAAGAGAGCAGCCGCCCTGGCACGCAGCGTAAAAGTAGCATCCCTGAGGCCAGTCAGAGTAGCTCACTTCGGAGACGACGTCTGCCCAGCCACCTCCCCAGTGACATCCCTGTCCTGGGCGGATTGCCTCAGCGGCCTCCACACAGGCGGCTGTGTCAGTGGCCACAGGCTCGAAGGGAAACTTGCAGGCCTTGTCCTCGTCGGGGAGCGCGTAGGCCCGAGACCCCGAAGGGTTCAAGGCGATTTTCACCCAGTCCTGGAGCTTGTCAGAAGGCCGCTGGCAAGACCAGAGTTGAATCTTCGCCCCATTGAAGGCCTGGTTGCTGTCGATCACCAGGCACATCTGTGTCGGGGAGTTACGGGCCTGGATCTGTCCGGCATCATTGAAGTACCAGGTCTGGTGCTTGTTGCCGTCGTTGCATTTCCACAGCTGAATCTTCGCTCCGTTCTCATACTTGTCGCCGTCGATCACAAGGCAATAGTCTGGATTAAGATGCATTCTGATTCGCCCAGAGTCTTCCAGGAAGAAGTTCTGCCCACTGCTGTGCCACTTGTTATTACACTGCCAGAGTTGCACCTTGACACCATTGCCGATGCGGTTTCCATCGCTCGAGAGGCAAAACGACAAGTCTGGCATCCACGCAAGGTGTGCCGAAGAGGAGGAGGAGGCCTTCTGCACAGCAGTCTTTCTCAGAAATGTTGCGTTGCTTCCTCGGAGCTGCGGCTGCTCCTGAGCTGCTGACGCAAGTGCGGCAGCAAATGCGCACACCCACAAGAGAGCCATGGTTCGGCAAGGCCTGCGAAAGGCTGGGGAACAACGGCAAATCTGAGCACTTGAGCCAGTAGGGTTTAGACCTCAAGATGTTTGAGGTGCTTTGCTCGGATTGCCGTGGCAAGGAGTCCTGTCAGTCACCCGGCCTGCAGCTCCGCGGCAGTGATTTCCGTCACCTGTCCACATGGAGCAACATGACATAACCAGCATCGCCAAAAGGAGATGACGAATATACCCCACATACTCTCGCCAAGACCCGAGTTTAAACCCCAAGTCTGATTTCAGGGTTTCAGGGCATTCAAACCTGTCGAACTACCTGTCTAAGCTGTTGATAGACAACCTGCGAAAATCCGCGAGTTGAACACAGAAATATCTACTGCACGAACCAAGCTAAGAGAACTAGCATCCAAGATTTAAACAGCGCTCCAACTCCCAGATGCGCCTCTGCACAGGAGAGCGCCGAGTTCAAGGCCTCCAAGCCGAGGCTCATTGCCTTGGCAGGGAAATCATCGAATCCTATTTCCAGGGCGCTCTCGTTCCTTCTCGGTGCAGCTGATCCAGCAGAGTTGGTCCTCTGACCTTTGTGGGCCTTCTCCCTTAAAGAATCCAAGACGCAGGGCAAGAATTTCCTGGGTTCGCGAAGTGGACGTGGGTTCTTCCGCGGGTCACCCATCGCGGTGCGGCATCTGTGCCTGTGCTCTCTGCCTATGTGTGCATGTGTGTTTGCAGCATTTGCAGCAGCGTCCGCATTGCTGCAATGACCATGGACAGCGACGAGACTACTTCCCGCAATGCGTGCCAGCCGTCCTGTGTCGCGGCCGTGCTCAGAAGTAATTCAGATCTTCCCCACAGGGTAGCAATCAGACACCATGGGCTAATGACATTTTGCTTGCAACGCTTTGGGGCAATAGCCACACCAGGCGGAGACATGTCGTCAACTACTTTCACGCATGCACCCAAGTCACTTTCCAGATACACGGAAGCTAGAAACGCAAAGCTATGTTCGTGGCTTTGATGAGGCCGTGTGCAAATAGCATGAAGTGCACCTTCGCACACTTGCGACGTCGCCGCCTTCAGGTTTCGAGCGAACGTAGCGTGCATCCAAGTCGTTCAGGAAGGACACCTGTGTAACTACAGCTTGTTGTCTTCGACAACGGCGAAGACGCGCAGGATGTTGGAATTCTGCAGCATTTGCAGGGCTTTCGTTTCGGCCGGCAGCGACTCACGGTCCTGCGCGTCTTGTCCGGCATCGGGTTGGCCTGATCGTGCCGCCGCAGTTTTGCCGCCGAAGACTGTCGTCTATATCGCTTGATACAACGTGCTGCAACTGATCATGGATCGCCCTTTGAGGCACCAAGCGTGAGTAAGGCACCTGTCAACATCCGCAAGCTTACTGAAAGGGTCTACCATTTGTTGGTGGACCACATCGACACTTCATTTCTGCACGGCAGTGATCGTTGTCCATGTGGACAAGCTCGAGTCGCGCAGCTGGCAAGATGCAGTCGAGGCACCACACTGAGAGGTTAAGTTGGGGAGCCTCTGTTGGAAGCCTATAACACCCGGAAATGCCCGATGTGGAGAGCTTCAATGAACTGAGCTCGCTGCACTCACCGCGTGCTCTGCGCAGCTGACGGCGTCAGGGTTTCGCCTGAGCACGGGTCCCGGGCGACTCTGCTTTGGGACCTAGGCCTCTGCAGCTCGACAGGCAGAGGCTCGGACTTGGCGGCTGCACGACACTGCGCCGCCACGTCCAGAGTCGCATAGCCGACGGCGCGGACAGCCTTCACTGCACTGATATTGGCAGCATTTGTCCCTGTCTCTAATGCACCAGAATTCCAGCACTCGGGATCACTATGTGGCCGTGCCAGGGAGGCATAAACGTCAGTCCCCTTGCGACTAGACCCGAGGCTCGAGAAAAAAAAAAGGACTGACACTGGTCGATGACCTCCAAAAGGCTTGCCATGCCATCGCATCGTTACAGCTGTAACTGAGGCAGAACTCCGTGGCCTTCACCACCGTCAAGGTGTAGACGATGGCTGAGTGAGCCACCTGGGACTGCATTCTGGGTCGTTGCTCAACCGCTGCGTGGCGACGATCGAGTTGGCAGCCGCACATGCACTGTCCAGGGCATCGGACTGATTTGATCAGAGTCTCGCGACCTCCCTGCTCCTTCAGAATCTCGAGAGGTAACTTCCCGGTGGACAAGGCAGGAACGACGAAAGCATGGCATGCCTGGTCCCGTCGCGCAGCTTCTGCAGCCTCTGCCGCCTTCAGTTGACGCAGCAGACCAGTGCACAAAGACAACAACCATGCAACCGTTGCCCGTGGTGATGTTTAGTGCGGTGCGGCACAGCTACGGTAACACGCAAACGAGTGCCAACAGCTCTAAAGACGGATAAATCTCTGTCTACGGGTAGCAGATAGACACGTGCAGGATTGAGCAGGCATAGCAGCAACAGGAGACCATCGTTGGAGAATTCGCGTGCCATGCCATCTTCGAACCCATGGTTCTGGTACAGCTCTGCTGCTTGGGATCTCATCTTCAAGCTGTCTTGCTAGACATGTCTGTGTCTTGATTCCGTGCCCGCACACCATCCCGCACCCGGCAATCAATACTCCCAGCCCCACGAACAGGTGTCTTCATCGAGCAGTATCTCTTTTTCAGAGTCCTACAACGGGAATGAGCCTACATTAGTAGTTAGGGTCGCTAAGCTCGCATGTCTTCATTGGAGAGGATGTCGTCGGCTTGCGCAAGCGCGCCTGATGCGCAAATTCGGCTGCCGTCTTGGCATAGCGTGAGGCTTCCTCCGCTGCCTGTTCAAAAAACACTATCCATACCGCGATGCTTTACACCCTTCGGCTGTAGCGACAACGGTAACAGACAGAGCGAAACTTCATAAGCAGTCCATGCCTGGCCTTGCTAGCCTTCTCCAGGAGCGTTGTATCCTCCTCACGACGTTCAGCTACAAATTCCACAACACCCTCCAAGTAAAATTTGCATGCACAACTTAGAGACCACTGGAGCCCTAGTTGAAGTTTGTGCACCCTCCTGGGCAGCTCTTTTTGCCTCTCTGGCTGTGTCAGAATCGGCCTGGCAGCGCAGAGACACCCTAAGAGCCCAGCTTCGCCGGGCCGAACCAAGAATGTTTTGCCTTGTCTGCCGAGCCGTCCTCTTCATCCTGACATGCTACAAGGGAGTTTAATAAGAGTGTCTGAAGAAAGTCGGAGCGCCTCGGAGGTGCAAGCGGAACTCTCCTGTCAGAGCCGCCAAAAGAAGTATGCCGTGCTGCGGTGCTGCGGAGAGCGCATTCGCATCTTGCACGGCACCTTCTTCCGCGGCTTCGCTTGGCTCTTGCCGTGAACCGGCGTGGGCTCCTCGCAGCGCAGAAGCAAAGACGCGACGGGAGCTCTCCGCCTCTCTGCGCTTGATCCTCGCCCTCGCTGTTTTCGTGGCCGTGCTCCTGGCGACCAAGCAATTCGACTTCGGATTTGAGGGTCGAAGTCTCGGAGCTCCTTGAAGCCCCTGTCGTCGGCCGAGCGTCGCTGCTCCATGATTTTTTCGTAGGCGTTGGTCAGTTCCTGTGCCAGCCCCCGAACCCGCTATCGCTACAACAATCTGCCTCAACAACTCGCCAAGACCCTTGAAACCCTGAGTCAAGTCGCTGCAAGCTTGATGGAACATGAAAGGAACGGCTTGCCCCCTCGCAACGGCCAAAGTCCAAACACCTCAAAGCCTCAACCAAAACTAGGCTGCTGAAGGAGAAACAGGCCTGGAAATCCTCCTTGTCGCCGCCCTTGTCAGGGTGGCACTGCATGGCGATAAGTCGGTAGGCCTGCCGGCACTGGCGAGGGATTCGGGAACAACATTCTGAAGGCCATTCTGACGGGATTGGGGCAATGTGTGGTAGAATGCAGCGCTGAAATTTCAACGCACATCATAACTATGCAATGAGTATGCAGGGCCTAGGAAGGGATCTGAGAGGGCCTTCTTGATCTCGGCATCAGTCGCACTGGAGGATACGCCCAGGATCGCGTAGGCAGAGTCCTGGAAGCAAAACACTGACTGTAGCGGCAACACGGCTGTCAAGCAAACCCCCAGCCACTCCTCGTGGAGACGTGCAATTTCATCCACAATCTCACTCTTGAAGCACATTTGCCTGGCAGGAGCTCATTAAGAGATATGATCTATGTGCCTCCAAGCCCCAGCCGATTGCAGCAAGTCAAAACCAATCGGTGGATAAGCGGATGCCTCAGGATGTATTCGTCTAGCGCCCGGTTCATCTCCTGGAGTGCAGACCAGAGACCACCGGACCCGCAGGAAGGAACGCTTCAACATGCCAGCCTCTAAGTGCTCAGCACTGAGCTGCGATGCCTCCTGAGCATGCCATGAGCGGGCGCCGAAGCTCACAGAAAGAACGCAAGATGCTCCGAACTCTTGGGGGTCGGGGTCGCTCCTTCGAGGCCTCCGCGGCGCTCAGCTGCAGCTCCCGAGCCAGGGACAGGTCGCTGAGCACCTCGGGGAGCCGTTCAGCAGCCTCAACGAAAAACGCTGCAGGGCCTGTGAAGTGGGAGTCGCACGAAATGGCTAGCTTCGGCCGTCCCAGCATCTGGCCCTGCCAAGCTTTTTGGTGTTCGTGTGTTGTCTGGTTGCTGGTTGCTTCTGCATTCAAGCTGTTTCCTCCGATGTTTCGCTAGAGAGGCCTTTTGTTCACCTGCTCATTAGTAGTTCGTCCAAACGAACACATACACACAATGGACAGCCTGTTAGCCTGCATGAGGTGGTACGAACGCAACCATGGTTGTATGGAACTGTCTATGTAGACGTGTACAACACATATTGTGCCCGTGTGCCCGTTCGCATGGATAATTTTACCAACTCGTGAGTTAAGTTTAACTGCGCTTCTTTGACGATTGACAAATGCCCAGTTCAGCTCAATGTTCCCTGGTATGGCAACAACGTTCGAGCATGTACATTGACATGTATTTCGCAATTTATGATTTTGTCCATAATGAATACGTGTTTCGCCTGTTCGCACTGCATGTATTTCCTTCCAAACGAATTAAGCGGTAGTGGCGAATAAAATATGAACGAATGCTTAGCCGTGAAATATATCTAATGCTTATTAGCGCAACCAGCAGCTGTTCCACCATTACATGAATGTGAACTAGTTTGTTAAACGCTTGGCAGTGCGTACATATGAGGCCCACACCATGAAGCATTCGACGAATACTTCTCCAAGATTCACTGCCTACTACTACTGCAGGAGCAACAACAAGCTTGTCGCACCTACTGAGTACCTACTGGTTGAATATAGCAGGCACTGCCAACTCATACATACGTGCATCACGTGAGCACTTCAGAAAATGCTGTCACCGCACAGTTGTTAGATGTTGTGTTTCTTCTCGAAACAAACAATTCGTGCTTGGAGTCCTGATAGGTGAGTAAGCTTGTATTGACCGGGAGAATACACTGCAGGCTGCGTGATTGGTCAGAAAAAGATGCGTGCATACATACGTACATGCATACATACACGCATAAACAGCTTTAATTATGTATGTAATACTGTATCTGTATATGTATATGTATATAGTATATATGCATGTATATGCCATTTAGGTATACAACAAGTGTAGATGCTCTTTGCTGGAGTTGGTATGAAAATTGGACATGCCTACTCACACACAGACGTGCCTCATTATCTTTACTGTACTGCTGCATTCAATACACGTAGATACCAACTGTGCATGCATGCATGCATACGTACATGACCTCGTGTATGTGTGTACATACATAGACTCGCTGTACACAATCTACAATCGACTACAGCACTTGTTACGAGACTATAATAATGCATACACGTGCTCTGTACAGGTGTATGTCCGCCGACCCTGCTGGATCGGTGTCTGGAGATGCTTCGTTCCTGCCCTTCCCTCATGGCTCTGGGCTTCCAGCTTTCTGCAACTCCGCTTTTCACAATGTTATTAGAAAGCAGACCAATACGACAAGGAAAGAAGTAGTTTTCTCCTTTCCAGGGAGTACCGCCCGCGACGCCGTCCGCCTCCACCACCCCCACTACCCCCACTCTCACCCTCCCATTCCCAACCCTCCTGCTCTCGTCCCGCTTGCTCCCTTTCCACGCCCGTCTCATCATTCCATCTCATTCGTTCCCGCCCTTGTCCTCCGATTCCCTTCCGGCACCTTCTACCCCCGCGGTTGCCTACCCCCGCAACCGCCTCCCCTGCATCGCCATCTTACGCCCCCACTCCTCCCCGCCCTGCCCGTCCCCACCTTTACTTCCCCCTAATTGGCTGCATATTAGGCGTCCGTTTCTCGAGACTGGGGTCTCTCATATCGTCTGTAAGACTGGTGCACTACTTCGCGGATTAAGCATACAGATAAATCGTCTGAAAGCATGCGCAATGACTTTCACAGACTGATATAAACTCATGGAATATGTCGGAACTTGATGAAACCTATGTCTGTCTGATGTCCAGCCAACACAGCGTCGCTTCCCGCACATCAGCAGCCTTCAGGCAAGGAAGCATGCGCTTGAATTCGCCGGTCCACCTGAGAGCGAAGCAACTTCTTGAGTCAGGCGAAAGTCTTGAAAAGCCGGTAACCTGTAGAATATGAATATGCTTCAGCCAGTACAACGAAGCCGGCCAGTGCGACTCATCGCATACTGTTTCTGCTACCTAGACGGTATGATCACGAGTTCGCGATCCCGAGCTGCCTATCCGACGAACAAGTCTTCTTCTCCCGTTGAATATGAACAGTACCCAGTACCCCCACAGGTCTGGCCAGCACTTCCGAAGAGACCCGTCGGGCACCTGCAATGGGCCGGCATCTCCGCAGAAGGCCTTGATGAGCTCCATGGCTACCTGCTTTCTGAGACAATGCGACCTGCAGTGGTCCTACAGAGTCTGTGATCTCAACTGCGGCCTGCAGCTTCAAGTAGTCCTTCGGCGATCCTGGCACAACCACGTGAGGAAACTCGGCAAAATCGGATCCACGACAGGTACTTTGTTTGAGACTCCCTGGCTCTGCAGGATGCAGGAGGTGTGCCTCCTCGGCTGGGATGCCCGCGAAGGCACATCCGCCGATAGACAAGCGAGATCTCCTCGACCGAGGTGCTTGACCTCAAAGAAACAGGAGCGAAGGCTCTCAAAATAAACAAAAGGCCTTCAGAGATCTTCAGGGCAGGGCCAGTCACCGTCGAAGCGGTTCCGGAAGCCCAGGAGGGCGAAGGACTCCCGGATGGCGTCGGACGGGTGCTTTTTGAAGACCTGCCGAACACTGCGAGACCTTGCCGAGGGGTCTGGTAAAGCCTGTCTGAGCCCAGAGCCTCGCTGAAAAGCCAGTCCGCATCGCTGTACCCGCCAACAAGCGCTCCGAGAGGTCCTGGGTTGGAGCTTGGAACCCCACAGAGAGCCTGTCAGCTGTTGGGTCGCAGCCCGTCCTCCCAACACTTCCAACTCGCATCCGCCTGAGCACGGCAAAGCGAAAGGCCAGCCTTTGCCCTCTGAGCTGCATCAAACGACACTCGAAGAACTTGCTCCGATGTGAAAGCATGGGCATTCTGCTTGGCCGCCAGCTGGCCAGCTTGAAATTCGAAAGAACCGTCAGTGCTCGATCGAGAATGACCTCGCATCTTTTCGTTCAGTGAAAAGTCTCTTTCGTTCCGTTCCAGCAACGCGACCGGTCAGGACCAACATGTGTGCCATCGCCTGCGAGCATTGCTGCCCGGAGGTGTGGCCCAGGAGCCAACGGCGAACCTCTGCGGTTGCCTGGTCACACTCCCTCCGATCTGTAGCCGATCTGTTGCACACTCTGCCGAGAGCCCGCCCGCCTCCGCCCCGAGCTCAGACCGCTCCAAGCTACCTGCAACGAGCTCTACTGCCCTTTCGGCAAAACCCATGTCATGAACACACCATCCCAGGCCACGAACTATCATCCTACAGCGGTGTCGCCGTGCAAGGAGATGGCCAAACCACGCTACATTCCAGTTCAATCTATAGTACTGACGACTTGAACCGTCAGTTGCTCTGAACGTCCCAACTGCTTTTTGCGAACCCCGCTCGCAGAACACCCAAAATCGATCTCGGCATGCGAGCCAGAAGCGGCCCAATAGACTACTGCACTGCTGCAATGGCTCGGAGGTCGAGCAATTGGCAGCTTGGCTTCTGGCGCAGTAGGACGGGCTTCCTCCTTGACTCACACACGGTCAAGACTCTCGCTTGCAGGTGTTTACCTGCTTCCAGTGGAAGGCGCATTCAAACCTTAAACAAACATTGGGTCACAAGACCCAGTCCAAAACCGTGCGAATTCACCACAGCAGAATGCAATGCATTGCAAACTGTCCGCGGCAAGACACGGGCAATTCTCAGTGGGCGTCAAACTCACTGTTCCGATGTTCCAACTCGTAAGACTTTCGTCTGTCGAGAATCATGTCAAGATTCGTAGCCTCATTGACTTGATTCTGCTCCACATCTGGTGCCACCTTTGGCTGGGAGTCTTTCACGAGGGCGATGAGTCCCCAGGCCGCAATCATCACAGAACCAGCGACGCTTAGCGGATCGGTGGCTTCGTGCAGCAATGTCGTTTGAAAGATAAAAGCGAAGACTACCTGGGAATAGTTCATGGCAGTTGCCTTCGCCGCGGTTTCGAGCGTGAGTCCCAGGTTCATCAAGGCCTGGCCGATGATCGAGAAAATTGCCAGCAGGACCAACAGGGGCCAGTCTTTCCGGGTGTGCCATGACCACGTCTCCCCAGCCGCAACGCTCAAGATTGGCCCGAGAACGATTCCTGCTGCGGCAAAGTAATTCACGAAGACCATGGGGTGTACCCCCTTGAGAACCCGAACAAGCAAGTACACTACAGAGCTCATCACGGCGGCGATGGCAGCCCCCAGTAAGCCATTCAGGTTCATCGGCTTGGGCTCCGCACCAAAGAAGGTCATCACGAAGCTGGGCTTGCTGATCAACACGACACCCACCATGCAAAGGACGCTGCCCAAGGCATCCAGCCGGCCCCAGGCCTCCGAGGGAGACAAAAAGCAACTCTAAGTGAGACATTGAATCCTGAACTAAACCCGGATGAGTCGGTAACAACCATGGACTGAAACATGAAGCACGGACTACGGTGAATCGGCAACTGCCCGTGAATCAAGAACTAGGATGCTGCATCGGCAACCGAGCATGCTGAACCACTCACCGGGGAAGACCCTGAGGAATCGGTTGACGAAGAGCATCTAGACCAGGAGGCTTGGGCAGAGAAGAGATCTGTGCGCATCAGCTACTTGAGTTCAGGATTCCACAATAGATTCGAAGCTACTGATTCGCGCGCTATTTGTTCTCGACACGTCCGCTGAAGTCGCTGATTCATAGTTACTGATCCCCGCATTCCAAAGGTCCACCTCTCCCAGCAGCAGTGCCGCTGCAACGGCCGTGATGACCGGGCTGGTATAGGTGATGACCACCGCATCACTCAAGGGTAGGTGCTGGATGGCGTAGTAGTATCCGCTCATGAAGCCGAAGCCTGCGGCAGCACGCACCCAAAGCAAGACACGGCTCCCTGGTGGCCCCAAAGGGTTGATCCTCTTCGCGATCAGCATCGACATAGTTCCGATGAACATAAACACAGATCTCCAGAACACGAGCTCATAAGTCCCAAAGCTGCTCAGGAGCTTCACCAGCAGAGCCATCAAGGAGAAGAAGAAGGCGCCGACGATCATAGCCAATAGTCCAGTGGACAGGGTCATCGGCTCTTTAGCCTTCTCAAGCAGTGGCTGCGCAACCTCCTTGTTGGGCAAAGATGATTGGGAGATCGCCTCCTTTGCCAGGGCCACAATGCCCCAAAGAGAGATCATCAAAGCCCCGATTTTACTCTGGAAGTCACTGCTGGACTCATGCAGCAGTGTCCGCTGGAATATGAAAGCAAAAACCACCTGCAGGTAGTTCATGGAGGTGGCTTTGGCAGCAGTTTCCACCTTGAGGCCAAAAGCCAGCATCGTCTCACCGACGGAAGCAAGTGTAGCCAACGCCAACAGTAGCACAATAGCCCATAAGGAGGGGACGGCCCAAATTTCTCCAAATGGCCCCAGGCCCATGATGGGAGCTGTTACAACCGCGGCCATGGCAAGGTAATTCACGAACACAAGCGAATGCACGTCTTTGTCCTTCGCAGTCACACCGTAATGATGATTGAGATGCTTAGTCACTTTGATTTTGCTGCTGCCCCGAACCCTCCGAACCCTGTCCTTGAGGACACGAATGATGACGTATACGCAAGTGGCACTGACTGCTGCGCAGCAGGCAGCTGCCAAACCCAGGGGCGGCAGATCCACGTTTTCGTCTTTCAGGCCGAGGATGTGGAAGAGTGCTGGTGGCTTACTGATCATCATTACTCCAGCAAGACAAAGGCCGGAGCCAAAGAAGTCCAGACTATGCCAGGTTTCTCCAAGCAAGACTGTGGCAGCCAGTGCTGTCAGCATCGGGCTGGTGTATGTAAGCACGACAGCGTCACTCATGGGAAGTACTGCTAGGGCGTAGTAGTAGGTGGCCATGAAAGCCACGCCACAGAGGCCACGGAACACTAGGATAGCACGCGTGCGAGCACACGCTGGGCCTAGAGGGTTGAGCCCCTTCGACAGCGTGCTGGACATGGTGATTGCCAACATGAAGAGCGATCGCCAGAAGACTAACTCGAAAGGTTCAAACTTGTGCTGGGATGCACGTCCGGACCCGAGCTCTGCCGCCACCAGGGCCATCAGCGAGAAGCAAAAGGAGCCCCCCAGCATGGCCAGCAAACCCAGCACCGGACGCCATTTTTCTTCCATGGCGGTTCTAGAACTTGCGTGGCAGCTTCTGAAAACAGGCCTGGCTTCGGGTACGATGGGAGTCAGGAGGTGCTTCCTGCTGTCCTGTCTGGCTCACAGTACGTGCGGTTCTCAAATCTTGAAATCAGCATCAGCAGATACAGTTCTCCACCGAGCATGCGAAAAGCACGGCACACGTCTGAAGATGACAGCTCATTACCGACAGCCAAGAAAACCCTCCAGCAAGATGCCTCTGGCAGTGCAAGGACACCAGGAAACCGTGCCTGCTTCTGCATCTGAGGGCGGCAGCCAATGCTCCGGGACCTTCTGACTGGTTACACGCAATTCTCCTGAACTTACACACTGGCCCTGTCATTGTCCCCTCTGAAATGCGCTGCTCATGTCTCAAGACAGCGGAGAAGGGAGGCACCTTGCTCCTAAAGATGGCGCCCTTCAGCGGCTCCGCCAACTCTTGTTGAAGCAGACCCAGCGTGCTAGTCCTCCCGTGAGGTACCGAGATTCTTCTTCGAGAACTCTGTTGAAGCGGCTTGAGAAATCCGCCGAGGCCACAGGCCCAGGTCCCGGCACCTCCCCCCCTCCCCCCCTGTGCATCCTGGCTCTTCGGCCCTTGCTTCAAACCACTAAAGAGCCGAGGCAGCGTTAAAATTAGTCCTGACCGATTTCTGCATCCTAGACTCTCCCCCTGCCTCAATGCAAATCCGAACAGAAGCTCTACTTGCAAAACTTGGCTGATGCAACCATCCTGCTTCACAAATTTTAAAGCACCAGGCTCCAACAGCTGACACCGAGCCCTCTCCTCCGCCTCCTCAGCAAGCTGCTGGTGCTGTCTCGTCGTTTCAGGCTGCTGCCACTACTCCCAGGTGTTGAGCCAACACCTGAATATGACTGAAAGCGAAGGGTACATCAGCAGTACTCAGCCCGTTACTCTCACCATTCTCCTCTTAGGGCTGCACCAGACTTGGCGGCGTCATGACTGGGCCTGCATGGATCAATGGCTCGCCCAGCTGCACCAACTACACATTCCAAGAAGTGTCCACAGTAAAGAAGCCAAGATGCAGCAAGACCAAAGGCAAGGAGATCGATGCCCTTCGTTGTTTGGGGCTGGCCTCGAGACATGCAACTTTCCCTCAGCCTCATGCCAGATCGCCCTCTGCCTCCTCGTGAACATCAAAGGCCTTGCTGCCCGAAGCAACAGTGTCGCAATCCAAGCGCACCTTCAAATCGAACTGGTCCCCACCATGCTGAGAGACTTTGCGCGTATGTAAGCTATTCAGGGACAAACAGGAGAGTATCTGAGTATCAGTCTCAAGCCACTCCCCTGAAGCAAACCACGACCTTTCCATCTGCAGGCACCCTTTTTGGCCCTCACTTCGAGCCACGATGAGATCCGTTCGCCCGCGCCGTCACTTCTTAGAAGTTCACGTTCACGAACTCTGCAGCCTCTGTTGAACTGTCGCCTTGCACAGCCTCCGGCACAGGCACCAGGAGGCTCCGGGAGCTGCTTCGGGCCAAGTTCTGTGCAGCAGCAAGTGCGGGAGTGAGAAGGCAGCGTAAGATCATGTGAAGATCTCCTGTCTCTGTCATGGCCACTTCCAGGATGCCATCCACAGAATCCCGGATGGAGGAGCTCAGTCGTAACTCCAACTTCTGAAACGAGATGGCCTTGTCTGCCCCTCCTTCGGAGCACGCGGTTACCCAAGCTTTTTCTAAAACCGCGAGCCCTGGCTCGGAGAATACGTCGACGAGCCTCTTCCCGACGAAGGCTTGCTTCGATGCAGCTGCTATGCTCTTCCGCTCCATGTCAATCTCAAGGCTCAGAAGCCTCTTGTGCTCGATAGCAGGAGGCTCAGGCGCCTGCGCCTCCATGTGGACGACAGGTAGGCCGGGCAGCTGGCTGTTTGGAGTAAAAATGCTTGGCGTGAGCAACGTGTAGGACGGCTGCCTGTCCGACATTGACAAGGCATCCGGGGATACGGGGGAGGCGATCGATCGCTTGTCGCTGACATCTCTTACGCCCAAGAGGTGCCGGAACTTGCCGCGACCCCGACCCGGGACTGTATACATGACCTGAAAAACTTCGGAGCGAAACTTACTGGAGCAGCTGTCGACAAACCGCGTGTGGAAGGCCTGGGTGTTGATGCTTTCCGGCGGATATTTGTCAAATCGGCGCAAGAGCTCCGCTGCCCTTTCTGCCTCCTCCGTGCTAGGCATGAAATCCGTGAAGAGGCTGCCTTTCAGGTCGGAACTCGATTGAAGGAGGATGGTTGCGAGCTCGGTTGAGTGCTCAACCAATCGCAAGTCCTGACAGTCCAAAAAATCCCAGTGACCAGGTCAAACAAAAGAAGAAGCTTGTCTACTTGCGTTCCAGGACTCCTGATCCAGCTCGATGACGGCATCACACGTCAAGCCGAGGAGCGAGGATGCCGCTCGAAGCTCCGTGGAAAGCTGCTGGTACCGAAGACTTTCGCTGCTGCTGCGTCTCAAGCTCACCTGGTGCAAGCAGCCACTGCTACCGCTACTCCCAGCCTTCAACTACTGCTATTACCACCACCACCACGACCACCACCACTTCTACTGCTACTCCGACCTGCAATAACACGGCCGAGACCGAAGTTAAGAAGAAGCCAGAGACTTCTGCACAAATGACGGCACTGGCTAACGGTATTCCTTCCACCGCGGCTCGCAGCAGCACCATGAGAAAAGGCCCGAAGTTGCAGAATGCCACCAATGCGGGTTCTGTGGCCATGCATACAGCCGGCCCACGAACAAAGCCAAGTATACAAAGCGACATTATGAACAGTCGGTCTGGTGGCGTGATCATGGGTGCCAGGCCAATCACGGCCAGTGCCATTAAGGCTGCATACACAGCATTCGAATGCTTGGGCTTTGCCAGCAAAGTTGGCGACACCACGTGAAGCAAGGTAATCGCAAATAGCGCCAGGAGCATCCACACCATGGCTGCCGACATCCATCCGTTCGTGCTAAGCGCAACAGTCACCTGAACTCCAAGAAGTCCGGTCATCAAGACTCCACACAGCAGGTTCAAGTACGAGCGTGCCATCTCCACGTGATGATAGCAGACCTGATCCGCCAGAAGCTTCTCTTCCGCACTTGCAATAGGCTGAAGTCTGAACATCATCTTGCAGTACTCAGCCAACCTTCTATACCAGACGCACAAGCGGCTTCGATGGACCACTGTCAGGTAGCAGACCCGCACGAGGAGAATAGTCTGGAGGCTGCCAGAAACCGACCAAAACACTGCAGGATCCACATTGCTCAGCTCCATTGCCCGATTAAAACTCTTGCAACCATAGCTTCGGAGCACGCAACGCAATCTCTGGAGTCACGATACTCGACGCAGTCGAGCTTTTGCTTAGCTAAGCTGTACAAGACAATGCAAACACGCAAGCCCAAGCAGAATCCACCCGAGCCTTGGATGCCGTCTTCGTTACATCTGGCATGTCTTTGGAGGAGACTGAGCTGTTCGGCCCTCGGGCACGTCACGGTGGAGTCATGGCCACATTACAATGCAAACTCTGAGGATCCTGGCCACTGCTGAGATGCGATCCAGCACTGCTCCCTCCAGATTCACCTCAGCCAGCCGAGGACCGCAGATGATAAGATGCTCAATCAGCACAGCTTGATGCCGGCCTTCCGAGGGACTAGACTCTGGTGGTGAGGACGGTGTTGAGGCCTCATGTCCCACAGGCTAGAAATTTCAAGACCTTCGGGTGAGATGGGACCGTGGTTCTTAATGGCTCCTTCGGATTCGACTTCGGCTGCGGCAAGGAAAGGAAGCAACTTAGCCAACCACTGCGCGAGAGCTGGCTCTAGATTCGCCAGCATGTGTGCCAGCCTCAAGAACGCGAGCTTGCTCAATGCAAAACCTGTTGTCTGCTGTGACATAAACATACATACAGATAGATAGATAAATAGATAGATGGGATAGCTGGGGGTCCCCCTTATCATTACCCGCCTTTCGAGCGGAAACGGATGTTCATATCTACATACCCAAACGTTGAAAAGGGACTGCAATTTAGAGAAACCTGGATGCGGAGAAGCACGTTCGCGAGCGAACCCTGAAGGGCCGAACCTACGTTTGTATGCTACAAGATGTAGAAACTTCTGGAACTACCGCATAGACACCGCTAAAAAAAGCGATGGGTTCCGTCGGAGTACCTGAAGTCTTGAGAAGAGACCCTCTAAAGTGCAACGCATCTTCCTTAATCAAAGGGGTGTTGGGCTCTCTGAGAATATGTAGGCAAGTAGTTTAGCCGTTAGGGTCCTGATTTCGGGATGTCGAACCATGATTGATTGATTGATTGATTGCCTGTGGGTGCGAACACCCTTGCACTTGCAAGGCAAAGGAGGCTGCTCCGTGCTGTACACACAGACAGCGCTCACTGCTCACACTCTCGACGGCTACATGGGCAGAGTTGCGGACAGCTCTGCATGGGACAAATAACTGAACGTCTTACTCATGCTCGCATGGGCTTTTGTAGCTTCTGTTGAAACGCTCATACATGCCCGTAATTCCCATACCAAGGATTTAGGATGGTGTCATTCCGTGACTCACAGAACCCCACGGGGATTACGGCTAAATACGCGGTTTCATAGTTCAAACTGCATAGCTCGATAGGGTAGCTGAATATTTTGAAAGAGGGTTGGCATATCTCAAGCGGGTGTTCAGATCAACCAAATGGCCAATTGACTTTTTCGGTGGTATTGGAAGAAGATCTACACGGGAGAATCCTCAAACGATCTGTCGAGACTTAAGATTCTGAACTATCTAGCCGTCTCGAAATGTTAGAGCTGGCTAAACGATTTCCGAGCCCTCCCAATGGATTGACACAGGCTGAAGGAGTACAAACTGCCTAGATTTGCAACTACATAACTGAAAGAGGTGTCTCGTTTAGATCAGGGTTTTATTCTAACATGGACAAGTGTTGAAAAACAATTCGAGAGGTAAAGGTCGGTAACATCGTTCAAAGGTCGAGAGCTGGAACGGCTTGGCTTTCAAGCAGGATCATCGAAGATTGAAGAATGAAGCTTGCTGGCCTTGAGTTTCAAGCGGATTCATTGTAAATAGAAGATTCCTGTCAAAACTTGCCTAGGCCAGCATCAGCAGCATGAGAAGAGGCTCGTTACTCCCACCGAAATCCGAAAGAGGTCGCTGGAAGTCTCGAGATCTTCCGCCCCCTCCTCCTTCCTGGAATCCCAGGCTCACGCTGTGAGGCATTAAACAAAGCTTACCTGCAGGAAGGAGCTTTAGTAACAACCACAAACGATCGCAGGGGGAGGATTGACAGGAGTTGCAGCAAAAGACATGGATAACTGAGGGGATACCATGGGAATATGCGAATTATATATATATATATATGTATATATGTATAGATTTATGCAACTATTCACTTAAATCTATGCATGTATCTATGTGCCACTCACTGCCTCGTGCCTTGTGCAACTACAAAACCATATCCAACATCCAAAGATCCCATGCGCTGTGTACCGTGCCAGGCTGACACAGGCTGGCAGCGAGATACGCTCGTCGGATCAACTTCAGAGCCGCGTAGGCCCTACCTATCACACGCCGGGGCCGATGCTGCTTTGCAGTCCTTGATGTCAAAGCGGTCCTGCCAATCCGACATGCATTAGATTGTCTCATCGCGTTTCACGGTCGGGAGGACCACATGCCGCACAAAGCTCAAAGCTCGTCTCGGCCTCAGAGTAGCTCGGAAAGCCTCAGAGCACGCGGCACCAGGGCCAGTGTGGCAAAAGAGCCCTGAACCGGAACGATGGGTATTTGAGGGTGAGTTGAGGCCTGTGGACCCAGCAGATTGGGATCTTTAAAATGTCTGCGCATCACGCGAGATTGGGCACACGTCCTGCTTGGAGCTTCAGCAAAGCGAGTATTTCGTGAGGCCATGGCTGAAATGAGGGTCCCATCCGTTCCGCCTGCAGCTTCTTTCCTTGTCGGGACAATCGTCTAGTCGCCACCGACAAACTGCCAGTGCAACTTTTGCTCGACATGGCCTTGGGGGCATCCTGATCTGGCCCTGGGCGACTCCTGCGGTCTGGACAGGCAGCCAAAGAGCCCGACTGCCGACTGCATGTAGGACTGCAGCCGAGGTTCGGCAAGCTGTCTCTGCTTGGCGGGCCGAGCACCGAATGCACCTGATCCAAATCCGAAGAAACCTTTCTGATGCGAATCCTCTGTGACTGGCATGAAGACAGTTCTCCCGCTCTTCATGCCGTTGAGGCCCCGGCATTTGGCATGCTGCTGTTTCGACCGAGCTCCTGGTTCGGGTGAGGACGGGTGAGGTGTATGCTCTCAGATCCTCCCAAGCCAAGGGCAGCAAAGCTCCTCCTCCTCCGTGCGCCACTCATGCGAGCGCCGCTTCTCGAAGCAAGGGGCCGGACCCGGGTTGGTCTTCTCAGGCCCTGCGCAACTCCGGAGACCAGGACTCTTCAGCAAGGTCTTCCCTTCTAAAGCTCATTTAAGCTAGAAAGGCCTGGGTGGTCTATTCCGTGTCTACCGAGACAGTCCAGAAAACCAAACCTGAGCTTCAGCATTGAAGACACAACAGTCTTAGCAGTGTCGGTTGACCTTGTCTCAGGCACCCGCCCACCTGGGCGCTGGCCTCTGCACTCCTCCCACGACGAGTGCTCTTATCAAGAAAATGCACTATTTTGGGATGAAGCAAAACGATCCGGAAGCAAGCGACTCCGTGCCTGTCGCGGAACCGAAGCCGGTGCGGGCACTGCTGCATTGCCCGCAGCGACGTTGGCGGCGGCCGCCTGGCCGCCATTCTGCTGCTTCGTATTCGGCCCACTCAGAAACGGCCCTTCACAGCATCAACACACTTCGAAGTCTGCGCTCACAACCTTCGAAATTACTGCTGATGTGGGCCATAAGTCACGAATCAGTCGCCATGATGTCTAGATTCACGGCACCGACTTAAGGCAAAGGCAGCTTGGCACGGTGAAAACAGCTCTACAAAGGACGTGCCTGAGAGTGGCCTGATTTCTCTGACTGCTACTTTTGAGGAGGAGTGGACTTGATAACAAATATTATGGCCGCTTTGTGTCACACGCTTGTGCATCAGTTACCATAGTGCTATAGTGTTGTGCTCCATACCATCTTTCCGACTGGCTTTATGCAAAGACGACATAAGTATTAAGTGTTGCAAAACGTTTTATGAACGGCGTCTTCCAACAAACAACATAAACATCATTGGACGTTTTGTAGTCGGAGCACGCGCTGAAGCATCATTGTAGCAAGCTGTGTCTCCATGATCTGACGTGCAGCTGCTTCCCTGCACAATGCGAGAATTGCACCCGCCTCCGCAGTGTCCACATCCTCCGAGACCAAGCGATGATGAGTCAAAAGCAAGTGTCCATGCTCCCGAGTTACAAAGCAGCCACCAAAACGAGGCGGCGCCTTCGCAGAAGTGTAGTGATGGAAGCCTGAGGTGTGCATGTGTGAGCTTGGCAGTTTGGGGTGCAGCGGTTTCTATGCAAACAGAAGAGTACCCGCCGAGTACCCACTCCTCTTTCAAGAAGCATCCGAAGGATCGCGAGAGACATCTCATCCGAAGAACAGGACAGGCTTTGCTACCCTCATCCGTCCAACATACTCCTCCCAGACTTTCTGGAGGGAGCCCCGAACAAACAAGGTTTGTCTCCCAGACTCATCGCAAGGTGCTTCTAGATGAAAACCCGATGCGTCCACCGAAAAAAACAGGTTGCTCACTGGAACAAAGATGCACGTACCGGGGCACCTATTTCCGCAACCCGGATTCCGATTGGCGGATCGGCGGCAGATTCACGTGGAGAAGACGACTCTTGCAGTGTCTCGGCAGATTCGAGCACGGGAGATTCAGGCACCAGGCATTAACTGAATCATGATTGAGAGGGACCCCCTAAGTGGGGATGGCAAATGGAGATTTCCAACAGTGACACTGATGGTTGGATACGAAAGGCTGCTAAGCGTTAGCAAACGCTGGCAAGCCTTCGTAGAGAACAGAAAACTTTGCAGGAACAAGTGAGCGCTCGTAGGCGCTTCTGGGAGCTAGTGAGTGCTGGCGTCAATTTGCGGCGGGGTAAACAGAGTTCAAAAGTTGGTTCCAAACCAAGTATCCTCAAGAGCCCTTCTTTGCAAACTCCATTTGCCATCCCTCCTTAAGAGGATCCCTCTACGTAAATCATAATTCATTAACTCGCCGAGCGCAAGGATTCACGCACCGACACAACTCGCGTACCAGGGATTGGGCACAGCGCTTGGTAGTCCCGCGGAGCAGAACTATGTCAGATCCGGGAAAAGGACGTGCCGGAACAAAACAGGCTTAATGAGGATCAAAAGAACACTAATGGTAAAAAAAATCTTCAGTCACCAAAAAAACCCGCGCCGTCACCAAAACCCTGTTTGCCGACACCAAAGGATCTGAAGCTGTCACCACCTGGTTTGTTTACATCTCCAAACAGTTTCGCAGAGCATCACCAAAAAAAACAGCATCAGTCACCAACGGAGCTGCCACGAGCACCATACACCCGCGACTCCCTGGCAGCAGCAACCCAAAGTTTGTTTTTCACGCAGTCTTCTGCGAAGTTCGCTCCGTCGGATCGCCAGACCTGGTGTGCCGAGGAGGCTAGGGGTTTAAGGTTGGGTTCAGAATCGACGGTTGAAGGCCCAGGGAAGAGTTTTGCATAAACCCAATCTGATTCCAAATTTGAGCTCCCGTGAAAAGCAATCTAGTCTGTCCCAACCCAACCCGAGCAAACAAAACCCAAGCTCGCCCCGAGTTTTGCCCAATTCCACTCTGCTTTCAACCACGAGCTCCAGCGAAACCCAATCTAACCTGTGCCGGCCTGGCCAAGCCCAAGGTCTGCCAACACCGGCCACCCAACGAAAGCAACCCTTGATGCAAACTCGCGAGATGGAGTCTGGCCGAACGCTCCCAAAGCACCCAGACAAAAGTCTGCAGCCAACAGCAAGTGGCCTCGGCTAACCTAAGCTAGCATATTTTAAAAACCATCTAGTTGCCAAGGGAAATGGCAGAGCCGCGAAGCATATATGAAGATATATGTGTATAGATATTTACACTAGTCTATAGACATATTTTATCCCGCTGCATCCCATCTCATCCCTAGTGGAAGTCTTTGGAGCCTTCCAGTGCGGCAGCCGTGTAGCCACGCGCCCTTGACCTGCACGACACAGGGCTGGGCGAGGTTGGGTTCGGTTCGGGTTTGCAAGGGGTTAGGTTGGGTGGTGCACGAGGCATGGTATCGGGACAGGTTCGACGAGGTTAGGTTGGGTTAGTTTGGGTCGGTCAGGTCAGGGTAGTTTGGGTTGGGTCAGGTTTGGTCGGTTTCGGCCACAGGGCTTGCTGTTTACGCCATGCTGGGCTAGGTTGGCTCCAGCTCGGGGTTGGGCGGGGTTAGGTTCGGGGTTGGGCGGGGTTAGGTCGGGTGGTTTCATGAGATTAGCTTAGGCGAGGGTTAGATGAGGTTAGGTGAAGTTGTTTGGTTTCGGGTCAATTTCCGCGAGGTTAGGTCGTGTTAATCCAGTCCAGTGTAAACCCGATCCAGTATCACTTATACCTCGTTCGAAGCAAACTCGTCCCTCGGCCTTCGGCTCTCGACCCTGAACCTTGACCCTAAACCCCAAATTCTATCCTCCGCCATCCACGTATACTAACCTAACCTACAATGATTGTTTCAAAAAAAATTAGTTGTCTAGGGAAAAGGTATAACAGCGAAGACTATATAGGTATATAGTATATGTGTCTAGATATATACATACGTATATATATATATATATTATCCCGCTGCATCCCATCTCATCCCTACTGGAAGTCTCTGGAGCCTCAGCGCGCGGCAGCAGTGCAGCGACGGACGACGCGCCCTTTACCTGCACCACACAGGGCTGGGTTAGGTTGGGTTCGGCTCGGGGTTGAAGAGGGTTAGGTTGGGTGGTTTGGGTCGGTCAGGTCAGGGTGGTTTGGATTGGGTCAGGTTTGGTCGGTTTCGGCCACAGGGCTTGCGGTCTACGCCATACTGGGCTAGGTTGGCTCCAGCTCGGGGTTGGGCGGGGTTAGGTCGGGTGGTTTCATGAGATTAGCTTAGGTGAGGGTTAGATGAGGTTAGGTGAAGTTGTTTTGTTTCGGGTCAATTTCCGCGAGGTTAGGTCGGGTTAATCCAGTCCAGTGTAAACCCGATCCAGTATCAATTATACCTCGTTCGAAGCAAACTCGTCCCTCGGCCTTCGGCTCTCGCCCCTGAACCCTTACCCTAAACCCCAAATTCTACCCTCCGCCATCCACGCATAATAACCTAACCTACAGTGATTTTTTAAAAGGATCAGTTGTCTAGGGCAAAGGTATAACAGCGAAGACTATATAGGTATATGTGTCTAGATATATACATAAGTCAATATACATATTTTATCCCGCTGCATCCCATCTCATCCCTACTGGAAGTCTCTGGAGCCTCAGCGCGCGGCAGCAGTGCAGCGACGGACGACACGCCCTTGACCTGCACCACACAGGGCTGGGTTAGGTTGGGTTCGGTTCGGGGTCGAACAGGGTTAGGTTGTGTGGGTTCATGAGATTAGCTTAGGTCAAGAAACTTGACCTAATGTCTTCCGCCCGTGTCATTTGCGAAGCCAGCTCAAGCTCCTGCGCACGTACCTCACGAAGCCACATCGGCATGATGTGGCCAAAACGTGAAACGACCGCGAACATCCGAACGCTCCCACATCGTCGGGCTTGAATCGCTGCGTGTCATGGCATGACAAAGCCTACATAGACCAACGCAGTCCACAAGTCGACTAGAACCTTTATCTTTGTACCCCAACAGTGATGTGGGCAAGTCCGGACTGCGAATTGGTAACCGAGTCAGCTCGGCAGGTGCTAGCGACAGCCACAGCCCGTCTACGGGGAAGGCGATGGTCGCTTCTGCTGCGGGCGGCGAGGCGTCCGAGTTGAGGACCCTCGGAAAAAGGAATATGGCACACGAATCAAGAAGAAATGCGGCATATATCACGACTTGTGATGTCGACTCCGAAAACCTAAAGGTGATCCGTCAACCGCGTCAACCCCATTAAGCCGGCGTAGACCCCAACAGTGAAGAAAACCAGAAGAAGTCACAGGAAAGAAGAAGATGCCAATGAAAAACCTGAAGATATCAAAATATGCTACATATGCCGTTTGGACGCCCGCAGACGCAGATTCCCACCGCTCCAATAGCTGCTTCGCCATGAGCCTGATGGCCTGCTGTGTCTTAGTGTCGTTGTAGAGCAGGCGCACGGTATCATCTGCACGCAACTCCTGCGCCTCCTGCAAAGTCATCGCCATAGAAGAGAGGTCAGAGATGCCATCCATTTGGACTGCGAAAGCCGGGCTTTGCACGCGAGCGACTGCACGCGTCAGCGCCAGGCGCCTTGTGTGCTCCGCCCTCTCGGCCGCATCTGCGGCTACTGCAGCCTCTGGCCCCCGAGCATTGGGACTGTGCCAAAACCCAGCCAGCTTCTTTTTCGTCTGATTGGCCTGTTCCCTCCTCTTCTGAGCACGTGCTTTGGCTTGCTGGACAAGTGCTGCTAGCGTAGTCCAGGCCGACCTCGTAGGCAAACGGCGCACCAAAGGACCTTGAGGCAACAGTCTGGCCCGCAGCGCCGCCTCAGCTCCGTCGACGGTCGGGATGGCATTCTTTGCGCAATATTCCGACACCGACGCCAACTTGATCGCAGGATCTCCCTCCATCCATCGTGTCAACAAAATGTGGACACAAACGCCATCCCGACAGAAGGCTCCACCTTGGGACGCACTCAGCACATGTTAGGGTGGCTTTCCCTGATGTTATGTTTGTTTTACAACGAGGGAAGATGTGAGGCTCAAAACAAGACCGGAATTCACACGACCTAACCCAACTCACCTAAGCTAACCTAATCTATCCTTATCATGCCAATCAATCCTAACCCAACCTTATCGAATCTACCTAGACTAGTGTAATCTCGCCTGGCTCTACCCGGACCTAACCAGCCCAAGCTAGTTTGATTCAAAACAATCTCACCCCAGGTGATATTCTCCAGCACACCTCCACTAAGCTAACCGAACGCAACCTAGCATAATTTGATTTTTCAATGTTCCCGTGCACCTGATCTAACCTTATCTAACACCGAGCTAATCTAATCTCATGAAAGCACTAATTAAGCGATACAGCCAAACCCTGCCCTCAACCCAACCTAACCCAACGCAACCTGACCTAACCTAGTTCAAACTAAACTCAACCTAATCTAGTATGGAGTAGACAGAAAGCCCTCTGGCCGAACGCGACGCAACCTGACCTAACCTCAACCACCCTAATCTAGCCGGCCCAGGCAAGCCCAACCTAACCTCGCCGAATCTGATCCGGCCCCAGCTGTCCCAGCGTGACCTAACCTGACCCAACCCGATCCAGACAACCACGTAGACGAACCCAGCCAGCCAAACCCTGCCCCCAACCCGACCTAACCCAACGAAACCTGACCTACCCTGATCTAAACTAAACTGATCCAACCTGAACCGAACCGAACTAGATTTTACAATGAAAATACAATAGTTTCCTGATCTAACACGAGTTGATTCCCTGATCTGCACGTAACCTGACCTATCCTAACAAACAGACTAGGTAAGGTTCAGGTAAGCTTGACAAGATTAGGTTAGGTTGGATTGAATTGGGTTGGGTTATGTTGGCGCTGGTCTCTGGTCCAAATAACCAAAAACTAACATGATTGATAACCGAACCCAACCCAAACTGCCCTTGCCAAGGAAACCCGACCTCCCGCCCGGATGAAACGTACTCTCCTGTAGACCGAGGCGCACGTGCACAACAGAGTGTGCCCATACCAGGAATGCTGTAGCACCATTGTCATGGCCAGCTCCTTGAGCAGGGCACGCACGCGCGCAACAGAAACCATTTCACCCAGGTCCATCTGCTTGACCAGATCCAGGTCCTTCGCGGCTTGCATGAACGCCGCGGGTGTTCGTGCGGCGATGAGACGATGCAGCTTCTCGTGTGATTCTTGATCGATTCGAAGACCTGGCTGCTGAATTGGATATGTATAAATCCGGTGGACCCGCCAATCCTGGACGGCCCCCGACACGGCTGACGCCATGAAATTTTCAGGCAAAAACTCCACGAAGCGCCAAACCGGAGGAAGTTTGGGTTGATTGCCCTCCTCGTCGCGCGGTTCTTGAAGCCAGTCGTCCGTGATGAGTGCCTTGGGAGGAACTCTTGGATCTGCCGGCTGGAAAATGAGAGATTCGTCACTCTCGCGCACAAAGCCATTCTCGATGGCTATGGCCCGCAGCCCTGACTCCACACGACCAGTAATCTCCTGAAGGCCATAGAGGTGGTACGAGGCGGGCAACGACTGCTTCAGTGTACGGTTGAACCTTTCCAGTGCCTGTTGAGCCGTGTGTGGGCCGTGGCCCGGCACGCTGGAATGAATTCCTCCGCACCAAGAGGAAGTCCACACATTGTCAGTCATATAGAGAACCTCCTTTTGGAGATAACGAATCAAGTCGTACGCTTGCTTCTGCGCCAACTCCAAGAAGACACAGAGCCAGTGATGGTGAAAAAGCATGGCGGTCGGCAACGAAGAGGACCATTGGATCTGGGACACAGCATAGAGCTTGTTCTCCTTGGACCCTGCGACGCGAATTGGCAGGCCTCTCACGTTCGTCACGACGTGCTGCAGGTCCAAACGGTGCGTCAGCATAGGGAAAATCTTCTCGGCCGCCAAACGGCCTGCCGCCGTGCCATCCATCAAGATAAACCGCAAGCGAGCCAGGATGTCGACATTGTGACGAGCCATGACCGCGAGGAACGTGGAGAAGGTGCACGCTATCACCGCACGGTCTTCTTTTGGTCCGACCGCCAGGGACACGAGGACCGGCTGCGTCGCCGGCATGCCATCGGGCCCCAGATGTTTTTGAGTAAGGGCAAGGGCACCGTAGCCCCAACCTCATTTGCAGACGGAGTGGAAAGGTTCAATGAAAGTTAGGACAAAGAGGCAACTCAAAGCATGGTGTATGTATCTATACGGCAAGTGACCGGAGCAGCCAATTTTATACGTCCAATCACTGACGAGAGTGAGTGAACTTCCCAAGCGACCTCCTTTGCAGATCCGCCGCGCCTCCTCTATCATGTGCTGGCTTGTGAGCAGGCAAACACCCTCCAGCTTCACGTCTTGAATGCCATCGTCCAGTAAGGACGCCAACACAAGCTGATCGTTGATCAATTGAACTGGTGTGTAAGCCAGCCGAAAGGGCTCTTTCTCCAAGCGAGACTGTTCCTTGACAGGGAGATGCAAGCAAAAGGAACCCTGTCTAATTTAACCTAGAGTAATCCAATGACAACCCAACCCAACCACCCTATTCATATATAAATCCTGGGGTACCTGAGGGTTCAGGAGCTTCAAATCTAAGATAACCCGACCCCACCTAACCCGGCCTACTAAAGCCAACCCGGGGCCCCAACGCAGCAGATTAGGTGCGGTTGTGTAACCCCAGCCTAAGCTAACCTCTTCTCTGTAGCCCCCACGTGTAACAGCCACATGTACCTAAAACAACCCAAGCTACCTTGTTCTAACCAAATGTAAACTACTGGGCCCTAACCTACCCTAATCCACCCCCGACCTAACCTACGCTAACCTCCTCTGAGCCAGCGTACTCTGACCTGCCCCGATCTGTGCTAATCCAGCCTTACTCCATAGAAGTTGATTTTTTTTCAAGCAGTCCAAGAGCAACGAAACGAACCTGATCGAATATCATATCAAAACAGTTAACCCGACCTAACCGATCCTCGAGTGCTCAAGTAGCGGTAGAGGCTAGGTTAGCGCAAATCAAGACAGGTCGGGGTAGGTTGGCTCGGACCTGTTCTGATTATGTTTACCTAATCAAAATTTTTCAGATTAGGTCAGCAATGCTTTAGGCTAGGTGTGGTGCGGTTATATTGGAATCGCTTAGGTCAGATTTAAGTTTAGTTATATTATAGTATATCGGGCAGACACGGATCTCGCCAAAATGTATCAGATCAGGTCAGCACAGCTTAAGCTATGTGTGGCGCGGTCGAATTAAAATATCTCAGGGTAGATTTAGTTTTTTTGTATTATACTTTATTGGCCTAACCTCGTCTTAGCACTATCCAGATATCACCCCAGTGGACCACTACGCCCCCAATAGCCCTAACCCCAACCTACAGCAACCCAACCTCAGCAAATCGAACAGAGATCCAGCGGAAGCCAGCGCCGCGCTGTTGGTTACGCTGAAGGAACTACCGATGCCCGCAAATTAATCTGAAAGGAGTGCGGTCCTCCACATGTGTCTTCCACGCATCGATCAAGTCGCCACAAAGCTTTCGCTTCGGAGGCTGTTTATCCAAAAAAGATCGCCGAGCCTGCTTCACCTCCTCAGGGCGACCGAACCCAACCTAAACGAATCCGCAACCCGGATCTGAATCCAATCTAACCACAAGTACTCTTACTACACAAGAAAATCCACCTGGTGGAACCCAACCCAACCTCATCTAATCTAGCAAATAACGACCATAGCAAAAGAAAGCCTAGCAAAAAACAAAAAAAAAACCTGCCTTCTTGGAGGGTCTATCATCGACAGACAAATCTGGTTGGTGCAAGAGGTGGGCGTGAGCTTGGAGCGGCGCCATGTGCGCCACAGCCTGGGCGACCCCCTCTCTCTTTTGCTTGCGAACAGCAGCCTCGTCTTGAGCCGGGTGCTCGCCGTGACCAAACCAAGTACCGTCTGCACCCTCGCCTTCGCCCTGAGCGTGCAAATCCCAACGCCATCTGTATTTGCAGCCTTGCAGGCAAGTGCACAACCCCCAAGCTTTGCAATCATTGCCCGCAGCAGTCACTTTGGTAACTCGGCCAGACTTGCCGGCGCTGTGGATCCAGTCTGTCAACTTTCGCTTGATCTCTGGCTCTGTCGCCTCGGATAAAACGATATTCAAGACGCGCGGCTCTTCGATGCGCTCCCATGTCGCTGTTTTGGGCATGGCAGCGAGGTCTCCCTGATCTTTATCGATATGTTTTATTTAGGGTTCTAAAACTCAATCCGATGTCGGCTGACAGGATCAAACTCAGGCATGGAATTGCATTATTCAGGCAGGGTGTGATCGGAACCTTTGCTTGGGGCCGACTGGGTTGCATGGGTTGACTCATCACACTTGCTCCGTTGCTGCGTCTGGCATCGCGGTGAAGGTTTCGTTCGGGTGGCTTTCAGGTGTCTAGTGGGGTTGGCTTAGGATTTATGGCTCAGGGTTTACCTTAACCCCGACAACCTTAGGGGTCTGGGGTTTAGGCTTCCGGGGTTTGGGGTCTGGGGCTTGGGGTCTGGGTTAGGGCTTAGGGTCAAGCCCACATGCGTATTCTCCGTCAAGGGCCACGGGTTTAGGGTAAGGGTTTCTATATAAAAGCATAAAAAATTCATTGCAAGGTCGAGGTAGGGTCGTGGGGAATTAAATCTCTAAAGTAAATTAAACTAACTTAAGCTAACCTAACCTCATTCAACCTGACCCAACCTAGTCTGTGTGGGCGTGATCTAAGCTAACCTAACCCAACCCAATCTAATCTGCAATCTAATTCAATTCATGAAACTTATCAAAAGGTTGAGTTAATCTAATTTAATTCAACCCAACCTAACCTAATATAATTCAACCTAACCTCACCTAACTCAACTAATCAGCATCATTGCTATGATAATTCTTATGTTTTCTTACTAAGCTGATTCTGAAAATGATAGTTGGTGTCTGCGGCTAGTCACGGGACTGCACTGATTATCATTGGTCACAACCTCACCTAACCCACCTCTAGCCCGGACCCTGCCCAGACACCCCGACAACCTCACGGGTCTAGGGTGGAGGGTTCCGGGGTTTGGGGTCTGGGGCTTGGGGTCTGGGTTAGGGCTTAGTGTCAAGCGCACATGCGTATTCTCAGTCAAGGGCGACGGGTTTAGGGGAAGGGTTTCTATATAAAAGCATAAAAAAATCATTTCAAGGTCGAGGTAGGGTCGTGGGGAATAAAATCTCTAAAGTAAATTAAACTAACTTAGGCTAACCTAACCTCATTCAACCTGACCTAACCTAATCTGTGTGGACGTGATCTAAGCTAACCTAACCCAACCCAATCTAATCTACAATCTAATTCAATTCATGAAACCTATCAAAAGGTTGAGCTAATCTAATTTAATTCAACCCAACCTAACCTCATGTAATTCAACCTAACCTCACCTAACTCAACTAAGCAGCATGAAAGCTACGATAATTTTTTCTTAATAATATGATTCTGAAAATGATGGTTGCTGGTGACTGCGACTACTTACGGGACTGCGCTGATTAACATTGGTCACAACCTCACCTAACACACCTCTAGCCCGGACCCTGCCCAGACACCCCGACAACCTTACGGGTCTAGGGTGTAGGGTTCCGGGGTTTGGAGTCTGGGTTCGGGTTTAGGATGAAGCCCTCATGCGTAGTCTCCGTCAAGGGAAGCAGGTCTGGCTGATGGGTTTCTACTGTAATTCATCAAGCTTATCTGGGGGTTGCACCTATATATATATATATGAGAGCATACAAGAATCAATCTTCAAGATCAAGGTAGCGTCGTGGGAAATGAAGCCTTTGGATTCATAAATTAACCTAAGCTAACCTAATGTAATTAAACCTGATGTAACCTAACCTATATGGGCGTAATCCAAGCTGACCTAACCCCAGCAGATCACTTTAAGAAAGGTATCACAATTTCAACCTAATCCAATGTAATAAAATATAACCTAACTTAAGCCACAGTAACCTATCCTAGCCAACATGATATGATAATTATTATTGAAGTATTATTGAAGTAACAAATCTTGTTCTGAGAATGATTCTTGGTGTTTCCAGCTTCGGGTTTGGGGCTAGGGTTCGAGGTTACGCCCTCGTGCGTAATATTTTTTCAGGGAAGATGGGCTTTGATGCTCACGGGACTACATTGATTGATTATCATTGGCCACAACCTCAGCTAAGCCACCTCTAGCCCGGACCCTGTCCAAACGAGACCCGGCCTCAGGGTGCCGCCGCCCACCAGACACGGAGAAGCTCGAACGTTCTCTCCCGAGCCTTTAACCCGCTCTTTCGAATCTCTCCGACGGCGGATTGTACATGGCGATCTGCTGTTTTTGTCGCCTGAGCGAGATGCACAATCGCATGTTTATGCCTTGCCAAGTCTGTTTCCAGAAGGGTTCGCACAGGTGTACATGTAATCGCTATTTGAACTATTGCAGGCACGTCACACATACGCTTCTCCGTTTGTCGTACCGTCCCGACCAACCACATACTGTGCAGGTGGCCAAACCGGAGGCGTCCTTTTCCGCCTTGTGGAAGCCGAGCCCCTTGGCCCACTCCACAATCTCGCGGTCCTCGTGTTGAGAAATAGGTTATGTCTTGTGAAATTTAATTGCTTTGGTTAAGAATACGGTAACATTACGGCCAGTCTTCATAGGTCTTGATACCATGTGTTGTGCAGAAGCTGTTGTGCGCGCCTCCCATTCGGCAGCTGCAGCTCCCACCGCGTTCGCGCGAGCTGCCGCTTTCCGTGCTGCCTGCAACTCGGAGCAAAGCTACCTCATCCAAGGCGACCCAAACCGACCCAAGCTAATCTCAGACTGGACGGTCAGATTAGATTCGTCTGGAGCAAGTCAAATTCAGAAAACCCAGTACCTGAAATTCGCTAAACCCGTGCCCTTGAGGATTTCCGTTGATCTCCGTACCAGACATTTCGCAAAAGCTGCTCTGCGCACACCTGCGGTTCGCCAGGTGGCCCTGCGTGCCCAGCCGCTTGAGGAGCCTGTGCAGCGGGCACAATCAGTATGTAAAGGCAAAGTTACTAGATGCCCACGGACACAGCCTAGGTTAGGTTTTTAAAAAACAATGAGATGAAATCCTAAAACTAAATCGTTAAATCCATGCTGCTATAACGGTTTCTTCTGATCAGCTGCCTCGGCTTGGCGCAGGATTAGGCTCCGGCGGGAGATATTGTGATTTGGTTAGGTTAGGCTGGATGACACTCAATTTGAGAACCTCAGTCGCACAGGAATAACATGGGATAGTTTAGACAGGGTTATGTTTGTTTAGGCCAGGCTTGGAAAGGATTATGTGCCTGTGAAAATTGGTGCCTGTCTCGATGACACCGAAACTGTCCTGCGTGCCTCCGCTTCAGCAGCTGCCACTGCCCCCACCGCAAGTGGGAGAGCTTCCGCGACCGGCGCAACCTCCAGCACGCAGCCAGGTTTTTAGAGCCAAGCGCAGCTTCTCGCCGAGGTTTGTTCGTGTCTTCGTGACTCCAATTGTTTCCAGTAAGGAAGGCTAGGGGTTTAGAGTTGAAGTCCGAAACAACGGCTGGATATCGGGAATCAGCGGACTACATTGATTAGTATTGGCCACAAGGTTGCTAACTCTACTCTTGGTATATGAAAAGGAGCACCGGACTCGAACCTAAGCGAAAACATCGTAACAAGACTTAACCTAATCTAAGATAACCTGACCTAATCCAGATAAAACTAACCTAACCTAACCTAAGCTAACCTAGTCTAACCTGATCTATACTGGCATTATCTAAAGTAACGTCATCCGATCCAACACATTATAACCTGAACTAAAATAATTTTCTATAATGTCAGTAAACTCATCCCACTCTAAGCTAACGTAACTAGACCCAACCCTACCTAACCTCAACTGAACCCAAGCTAACCTGACCTAATCGCGGCTGCCGAAATCTCCTGGCACCTGATCTAATCCAGATAAAACTAACCTAACCTAACCCTGATCTAATCCAGATAGAAGTAACCTAACCTAACCTAAGCTAACCTAGTCTAACCTGATCTATACTGGCATTATCTAAAATAACGTCATCTGATCCAACACAATACAACCTGACCTAGAATAATTTTCTATAATGTCAGTAAACTCATCCCACTCTAAGCTAACGTAACTAAACCCAACCCTACCTAACCTCAACTGAACCCAAGCTAACCTGACCTAATCGCGGCTGCGGAAATCTTCCGGCGTTCTTTGCTGCGTGTAGCTCGGAGCAAGGCTACCTCATCCAAACCGATCGAAACCGACCCAGCCTAACATCCAATTAGGCGGTTAGACTACATTAATACGGAGCTTGTCAAATTCCAAAGCCAAGAGAAAATCCAGTCACTGAAATTCGCTTAAACCGTGCCCGTGGGCATTTCCGCTGATCTCCGTACGAAGCGTTTAGCAAAAGCTGCCACGTGCACGCCTGCGCACCGCCAGGTGGCCCTGCGCCCCCCGCCGCTTCGAGAGCCTGCAGCCGGCACTTGATTATTATTGGTCACAACGTTGCCAGCTCCAGTTTTGACATATTAAATTAAATACTGGAATCCAACCTAACCCAAGACATCTTAATAAGACTCAACCAAATCTACCAAAAGTTAACGTAACCTATTCCAAACAAACCTGACCAAACCCCAGCTACAGGTAAACACCGAAGTCATAACAAAAACGGTGGGCGAGCGTTCCCCGAACTAACCGCGCGCTAGGACTCATTTTCGGAAGTCATACTACCAAGCACAATCCAGCCAGGACGCCAAACGAGAGATTTCCAGTACTAAAGTTGTACTACAACGAAGCACAATCCAGCCGGGACGCCAAACGAGGCATTTCCAGTACTAAAGTTGTGTTACAACCAAGCACAATCCGGCCAGGACGCCAAACGAGGCATTTCCAGTACTAAAGTTGTACTACAACCAAGCACAATCCAGCCCGGACGCCGAACATGGCATTTCCAGTAGTAAAGTTGTACTAGTACCAAGCAACCCCCGTCAAAAATCCTGCTTATCTCCATACCGCATTTTGATGCAGAAGCTGTCCTGCGTGCCTCCGCTTCGGCAGCTGCCAATGCCCCCCCCGCAGCTGGGAGGGCTTCTGCGACCGGCGCAGCCTGCAGCAGGCAGCCAGGCTTGTAGTTGTTTCCACATCCAGTTAGGACCTCA